ATTTTCTAATATTAAGGCAACTTTCTATATAAATTAAGTAAGGTTTAAGGCAGCAGCTATATAACCTAAAGACTTAATATTAAGGTTATTATATTCTTTAGCATAGTATATAACGCTATATATTATAATATACTAAGAAATAAGCATTATATTATATTATTCTTATTATATAAGACCCTACTGGCTATACCTTGCGTATTGGCTACAGAAATATTTAACTTTTTAATATAAATTAATTATATTGTGTATGTAAATGTAAGTTACGCCTATAGCATATTGCCCAATGACAGTTGCTATACCTAAATGTTGGAACTCTATTAACACTATTCAATGTTATTTTATCTCGTCATCAACCCGAATATGAGTCAAACCATCCTTTTGTGCTGAAAATAGTCATAAACGGTATTTCGTATAAGGCTGCGACAACACCACGAAAGCTGCTTCTCGACCTTGCCGGCTTTCTTCCATACCATTCAAGATGCCACCTCAACAAGAGACCACTGCTCAGGTACTCGACAGCTTCAGCAGTCTCCCGCTGGAGATAAATACCTACATCATGCAGTCACGTACTCCTCATGACCTCCTCTCTCTCACTCGAGCTTCTCCTGCAGCCTGGCCGTATTTTCAAAAAGACTACGCTTTTCTTATCCGTCATATATTGCATTATTCTATAACACGGTTCTATGATCATCACGCCGATCCGGTAAGTATCCCACTTCTTGGACTTCTCGCTCGTATTCGATTGCTACGGTTACAGGTTAAGGGGAAAGCCAGAGACGTGCTCGATCCTTTCTTTGCGCTTTGCAGAGGTACTGTCAAGGTGGGAGTCAAACCTCCCTGAATTAGTGACGGCGACGGATATGATTGCTGAATTGAAGAAGGCGTTTAGGTGGCGCGAGCATCGGCAACCGATTCTCCAAAGGAGCTTGACAAGGCACCTTACTGGGTGTAATGGAGATTCACTGAATCCTTCCTACGATTGAAGGGTTCTGCTGCATCTTACACCACCATGATGGATTCCTGTATGAAGACATGTGGAACTTAAGGACTATTTTTTCTCAGGACCTTTAGAGCGGGTGAAGCTCTGATTCCAAGCGATCTTGCGCCGTCGTACCGACGAACGGTTCACGGCCATGGGTCATTGAGATGCACGAGTTGGGACCCATATGGGGTCACAAAGTTCAATTTTAGGGCTCTATATGAATTCGGGCCTTGACCCAATGGGCTCATCACGTCTGTGGATATTTTGCTTCGCGTAAGGCAAATAAGGGTCTTAAGACGTCGCAAGTGGCCACCTCTTACCAGAGAACAGTCTATAATCTGTGATTTTCTCCAGAGGAAACGGACGAAGGATAGATGTTTTTGCTTTCACTTTGCATTACAAGGCAACATGTTACTGAGTCACCTTTCGTCTTTCAATACTAAAGACCAGGAGGGTTCTATTGTTGATGCATATGTTTCTGTAGTCGCTTCGCGGCCTGACCGCAAAATGGCATACAATCCTGACTTGGATGAGATATCACTTATCGCTTGGAAATGGAGGCGTGAGTGACTTGCTTCCTGTAGAGCGTTGATCGTTGGAAAATCCGTACCCTAATGCCTGGAAGCCTGAGACTTCAGACCTCCTGGTTATACTTTTTTCATCACACTTCTGGTAACATGTACATCCCAACGCTCAATACAGCACAGGGACTGGGTTAGGAGGCGGCCGAAATGCTGAGTATCTCATCGAATTAAGCGACTAGCTTTTTGTCTCGTATAACTAACAGTGCGGAGATATGGAAGGAGGATATCTAGTTTAGCTTACAGACAAAGCTGGAGAGAATTGACAGGCATTCAATGCATGTATTCCGTCGATAACGTATTAAGCTTGGGTCTGCTCGATAGTGATCTTCTGTCCACAAGGTACAGTGAACTTGCTACCATTGACAATCTTGCCATTCACCTTTATTACACTCTTCGCAAGAGAAGTAGGCAGAGGTCTAGGAAGATAGACAGTACCTTCTGTGTTACCATTCTTGGGTCCACTAACAGTCATCTGCAGAAGACCAGACTTGAACTTCCAATCAACCTCAACGTTTCCATGCTCAGTGGGAACACGACCCTTGGCCCACTCCAAACCCAGAGTTAAAGGCTTCACATCCCACTTCTTGTACCCAGGTTCAACAGCTTGGACACCGAGGGCATGTCGACTCAGCTCAGCAGTAGGTCCAGAAGCCCAGCCGTGGCAGAGAGAGGTAATTATTCCTAGACCAGGTGTACCATCGGGGTCAACAGTCTCCCAGAAGCAGTTGGTGTAGTTGGCATGTGCAGGATTGGCCATGGGTGCCCAAAGACTCTTTAATAACATCGTCGTCGGACTCGAAGGCTGCGCGGAGGTGATAGGCAGAAGCGTAAGGGCTGATCTTCTGAGCGAAACCAGACTTGGCGGTAGCGTTGCTGAAAGCCAGAGGTCCAGCCTTGAGCTGAAGTTCCTTGTTCATAGTAGAGAGCAGAGAAGTGGCTGAGATGTTGTGGCTCTGGGGAATGCCAGCGAGGATAGCGAGGGCGTTGGCGTCCTGAGCGAAACCAGTGGTGATCTTGTTGGACAGAACGTAAGCCTGGAGGGTATTGTTCCAGTGGTTAGAGTGAATGGCCTTACGCAGGTTGTTGAGACGAGTCTGGTAAACAGTGGTGTTGACGCCAGCGGCTTTAAGGAGATCCCAAGTCTGCTGCAAGCTGTAGGTATAGAGCGCGTTGAACTTGGAGCTCGCTCCGGTCTGGGGAGGATCGTAGTAGTTCCAGTCTCCAGTGAACGCAGGGTTGTCTAGAGTAAAAAGACCATTCTTCAACTGGGAGTGCGCCCAGTCCAACATTGCCGTAGTGCGAGGCGCCCACTCTTTCGCAAATTCCTTGTCGCCCAGAACCTCGTAGTTCTTAGCGAGCGCGTTGAGGAAGTTGAAAGAGTAGCCAATGAGACCCGTTATGTTGACGTCGAGAAGTTCCTTGAGAGGCTCCTGCTGGATCTTAGCCGTTGGGATGAAGAATCCGGGTGTTGTCGGATAAGAGCCCAGAAGGTCGAGAGAGCCCTCGACGAAAGTCTTGCCGTAGGTGCTGGCGTAGGTCGAGCCAAGCGCAACGTCGAGATCACCAGTATAGGCAATGCGGTCGCGTTTGGAGCCATCAACGATAGTATCGGCGGGGTTCGTTCCCATGAAGAAGTCCTTCAGGAGACTAGGGTCTGTTAAGTTGTTAGAGTAGATCTCAATACCGTCGAGAGTCGCAGCTTTGAGGTTGCGGAAGTAAGCGGAGTGACCAAAAGGAGCAACGAGAACAAAGGAACCGAAGAACTTGTCAGTCTGGCTGAAGTTGAGAACAGTCTTGTTATTGACGAGGATAGAGATCTCAGTCATGTTCACCTTGGCATGCACAGACATCCACTCGCCGACCTTGACATCAGCAGAAGAAGGGATAGAGCCAGCCTTTGAAGCACCTGTTGCTGTGACCTTACCAGTCTTTACATCGCAGGTAACAATAATGGCTTCGTTGAGAGTGTCCGACAGAACAGAGAAGCTGAACTCGCCAGTGACAGGCTTGACCTGAAAATCGAGCCGGTAGGTGGTCAACTGAGCGGCCGCAGCACTACCCAGAGCTTGAGGCGCCGAGCTCTCAACAAGAGATCCTTCTTTAGACACCTGCCAGAAGTCGGGGATAGTGTCCTTGGGAATCTCAGTAAGCTGAGCGGTTCTGGCGCCGGTGAGCCAGATGCGGTCCAAGTCCTCATCGGAGCATTCGAAACCTCCGGGAAGCTTGGTGAGAGGCGTGGTGTGAACAGTTGGTTTCACGCCAATCTTTCTAAGACGCAATTCTCCATGTGAAGAGAGGTTTAGTTTCTGGTAGCGGAAAGCTCCTTGGACAAGACGGTTGCTAAAGGTCTCGCGCTTCGTGATATTGTATCGATTCACACGGTAGGTGTCCATGGTAGCAGCCAGAGGAAGAGTTCCATCGCTCTGAGGCGAGTGTTAGATTGTTGGTAAAATACCTAAGCGCCGCGTTTACATACCTGGTAGTTGCTAAAAGCATACTTGGACTCTGCATAGGTGAGCTCAAAGGCTGAGGTATCGCCATAGGCAGAGACAACCTCAAAAGTAGGATGGCCCTCGAAATTCTCGCCATAATCGAGGATCATGATATGATGTTTCTTTCCATCAGATGAAAGAGACACAGTTCTTTGGAACCGTAGACAACCGCATTATTGTCCGCCCTGGCAACCGGTCCAGCGACAGCTGAGCCGGCTACAAGCAGCAGCGAAGCTGAAGCCTGGAGAAGCATCAGGATGTAAGTAGTATAAAGAAAATAGTAAAAAGAGAGATTGTAGTTGAGATGAAAAGTAAAGAACTGTTTAATAAGTGGCGTTGTATTAGATCTATTTACCTGAGAAACTATCACTACTTATAACTACACTCACATCCGTAGATCGGTATTACATCTTCCATCTCTATGTTTTTTGCATGATGTAATGAGCCACTGTACGGAGTAAATCGAGCCCTTTCATTTAAGCTCTGACTCTTCTGGTGGAGGGCCAAGAGGCGTGTCTCGTGAACGAGGTTTTGGCAAAGAGCGAGGTTCGTTGCTGAATTGTTGAACGAGGAACGAGGTTCACTCCCTTAGTCGAAACCTAAACAAAGTGGGGTTCGAAGAGATTTGACATCTTGAGTCAGTTTTTATTCTTCAGATCTCGTTACTGACTTTCTCGTTGGTGACTATTGGATGTGAATGTCCAGTATGCGAATGGGAAATTCTGGTAATTTGCACTGCCGAGAATATTCGTAAGTTGGACCCTTATTTCACATGATGATTGCTTTCGGCACTGTCAATGAACCTTGTACTCAATCGGTCTTTAGCTTTGTGGCTGGGAGCTTACATAGGGCTCTAGCTCAGATCAGACAACACTAACTCCAATGTCTCCAGCTTCTAAGCCACAGTTTCTTACAAGGACAGGCAAGATAGGATTTTCTCGGTCTTTTCATGCTCCGCCTCTTCATGATTCGTTACCAACGTCGCTCACCCAAGAGCGAGGTGCCTGCCAAGCTGCCATGCGTTGCGTTGCGCGTCGTGACTGATCTCGGTGTTTTAGCTTTGACCGCCGTCTTCAGACACTGCTCCCTCCAAATTAGTCTGCGCTAAACTAGCCCCTTGTCCCTGTGCTGAAGCCCGTAGCTAGCTCCCTCCCCGCTCGTCATATATTACCTACCCGTACTTTGCATCTCCATCTACCGAGTCTCTATACTGAATCTAATCATACCATGTCGAAATCAAGATCTCAATCTCCGTCCAAGGGCAAGGAAGCGCAAGATGCTGACAGTGTCTTGGACGTTTCTTGGGACGCGCCGCCTCCGTACGAGCTGCATTCCTCAGGATCAGTCTTAGCCAGCACGTCGCGCGTCAACGGTACGATCCACTCACCCTTAGGACCTTTTTGAAGCTATCGTGATGCTGACTGCGCCAAGGCCATGGAGGGGTCGATATTGAGTTCTCGTCGCTGCAGCCCGATGAAGTCAATCGCCTTCTTCCTCCCGACAAAGCCCAAGACGTTGAACCAACCAGCAGCATCCCCGCCGCTGCTCCCTCTGGGCCATGTCCAGCTCTCAATGTCGTCATCCAAGTTGTCGGTAGTCGAGGTAAAGTCTAACGACTATCTCGTTCCCTTCCAGAACTAATCAGATTAGGCGATGTACAGCCTTTCATTGCCCTCGGCGTCGCTCTCCAACGATACGGCCACCGCGTACGATTAGCCACTCATGATACCTTCACAGACTTTGTCCGTTCATCGGGCCTGGAGTTTTACCCCGTCGGGGGAGACCCTGAGGATCTCATGGCCGTAAGATTATCGACCCATCCCACAACCTCCAGGTGCTCATTACGTGGCTATAGTACATGGTCAAGAATCCTGGATTGATTCCTTGCATGGAAAGTCTTCGAGGAGGCGATATCTGTCGAAAGCGCGTCATGATCCACGATATGCTAAGAGGCTTTTGGAGCTCTTGTGTCAAGCCGGACCTTGTATCAAATCGTCCCTTCGTCGCCGATGCTATCATTGCAAACCCGCCTAGTTTCGCTCACGTCCACTGCGCCCAGGCATTGGGTATTCCACTTCATATGATGTTCACGATGCCTTGGACGGCGACGAGATCGTTCCCTCATCCTTTAGCGAATATTCAGTCCAAGAATATGGATCCCAGGGCTTCCAACTATCTCAGTTACGGTGTTGTTGATCTAATGACTTGGCAAGGGTTGGTCCTATAACCATGTTTCTTTAATCGTGCTCATGCTAACCGCCACAGACTTGGAGATGTCATCAACTCTTGGAGAGTTAAAGACTTACAACTGGACCCGTTAGCAGCCGCTGTTGGTCCCGATATCGTTGGCCTCATGAAGGTGCCCTACACCTATTGCTGGTCACCGGCTCTGGTTCCCAAGCCAAAAGATTGGGGAGACAGCATTGGTAAGGATCGACCAAGACGTAGTTGATGTGTACTGAGGATTAATTAAATTCACTAGATATTTGCGGATTCTTCATGCGAGACGAACCCTCTTATACACCTCCCCAAGATCTCGCAAACTTCCTAGCAAGCGGGCCACCGCTAGTTTATGTCGGCTTCGGAAGTATCGTCATCGATGACCCTACCGCCCTGACGAACATCATCAAGGAGTCTTGCCGGGCTGCAGGAGCCAGAGTAATTATATTGCGAGGCTGGAGCAAGCTCGGTGGAACTGACCCCAGCACTGAATCTGTCTTCTACCTGGGTGATTGCCCTCACGGTATGTAGTTAGGTGTTCCCAAATCATCAGTCCATTATCTGACATTCTGGCAGAATGGTTGTTCAAGCGCGTTGCTGCTGTTGTCCATCACGGTGGCGCAGGTACCACGGCTTGTGGTCTCGTCAATGGCAGACCGACCACTATTGTACCATTCTTCGGCGAGTAAGTTTCTTCCCACGCACCTCTCCAGGTAGCTGTCGTAACATATTCGCAGCCAGCCCTTTTGGGGAAGTGTAGTTGCATCCAACGGAGCAGGTCCACCACCCATCGCCTACAAGAGCATCTCCGTGGACAAACTCAGTTCGGCGATCAAATTCTGCCTCAGTCCGGATGCCCAGGCCGCTGCCAACAGGATTGCAACGCAGATGAAACAGGAGAGCGGTGTTACTACAGCAGTCAACTCTTTCCATCGGCATCTCCCCATAGCCAACCTCACCTGTGATCTCACTCCCCACAACGCTGCCAAATGGGAATACGTGGGAAAGTCGAAGAAGGGTAGCAAAGGCCATGTCATTGTATCGAACACAGCCTTGAAAGTACTTTTAGACTCCAAGAAGTCCAATTTGGCAGACTTTGCGCCGTGAGTTATTGTCAAGCCATATTCCTATTTGCACTGACTTACGGATCTAGACTCCGACCGAAGGAGTACCTCGTTGAGAACGAACGCTGGGATCCTTTGACGGCTGGAGCTTCATCGGTTCTAGGCACCATGCCAGATTTTACTTCTGCCCTAGGCGGTGCATTCATCGACCCCTTCAAAGACGTAAAGCGTGTCCGACCAGACGGCACTCGTCGCTCAGCAGGTACAGCGACAGCAGTTGCAAGTGGAAAGGCTCTTCAGGGTATGACGACTGCTGTAGTGAAGGGATCGCTAGTTGATGTCCCATTGGCGTTAGCTGAAGGACTTCGCAATACCCCGCGGTTGTACGGAGAGAAGGTACAGGATCATGGGCCTGTGACAGACTGGAAGAGCGGCAGCACAGTCGCAGCAAAGGTATTTGCCACTAGCTTTGAGTTGAGATGGGATACTAACATGGATTAGAACTTTGGAGTTGGCTTTTACGAAGGCTTAACCGATATCGTAACGAAACCAATGAAGGGGGCCAAAGAAGAGGGCGCTTTGGGCTTTTTCAAAGGCGTTGGGAAGGGGTCTCTCAACATGGTTGCAAAACCAGGCAGTGGTAAGCTTAGGATGCGTACTCTAGGCTCTTTGCAGCATGTCGGCTAACTTAATTTTAGCAATGTTTGGATTGCTTGCGTACCCGGCCCAGGGAGTGTATAAGAGCGTTCAGTTTATGAAGACAAATAAGGCGAGGGAGGCGGTCGCAGCCGGGCGGGTTGAATCTTTGTCAGACGGAGAACAGGCGTTAATGCCATTTGATGCTGGCCAAGTTGTGAGACGATTTCAAGAATTAACAGGGTAAATAGACTAAGCTTATGTTTTATCGGCTTCAATGGATAAGCGTTAGAATTTTAAAATCGTCCGTCTTATGAGTTCAAAACTTGTTATCTTCATATTTACTGTTATATCATTTAAAATTGTTAGATAAATGTTATTGAAAGTTGAGGTTGGTAGGAGACAGTGGATATTAAGATAGAGAGCTCGAGCCTCTTTAAGATAAGTTCTTTATATTTACATATATATCTATATTAATAGCTTTCCACGTGGTGAGAAGATAATATCCCGTTTGTATTTGCTTTCGATATAGGGTGAGTAATTACCCACTCGAGCCCTAGGGGCTCTTGAACGAGATTTCTCGTTTATCGTTTAAGGTGAACGACATGGTGGGTCTTGTCGATCCACTAACGTTGGTTAGTGAGATCCGCAAGTATTTAGATCTGACGCCAGTGCCAAAAGAGGGCGACACACTTTCAGCCTTGTTTTTTCATACTTCATTCAACATTGGCGTTACAAGCATCAGTCATTTCTTCAAAATGCGAGATTCGAGCATAAGAACAAGAGAATCAATTTCAGTTTCTTCTCTGCCTATGCTACCTTATCACTCCACATCATTATCCAGTCAGCATTACCACGAAGTCCCTCGTCGACATTTGCGACGTGGCTGTATGACTTCATTATACCTCTGACCCAGAAGAAATACCCAGTTCCAGCAGAAACCATGCTAGACAGATTTCTTACCATCTGTATGCTCAACAATGGTTGGGTTCTTGCCTTCGACTCGAGCAGAATGCACATCAACTCCACTTGGGGGCCATCAAAGATCCAGGCAATCTCCTCCAATGAAGGACCCTTTGTCTCCGGGAAGACGAGATAGACTCCAACAAACTCAACCATGACCCAAACCACAAAGATGATGTAGAACTTCCAGGTAATATCCCCGAGACCAATAGGCACGACAAAGGTCGAAAGCATCATGAAGCAGAACTGGACGAAGTAGAAGAATGACAGTCCCTTGGTTCGCATGCGATAAGGAAGAATCTCGGGGATGTAAAGGCCAAGGTTACCGTTAAAACCGAGGTTATAGGCGGGAGAGAAAAGGTAGAGGAAAGCAACGACTGTATACGCCGCAGCTTTGTTGGTGTTGTCCTTGGCGAATACAGCACTTCCTGCGGCGATGCAAATGTCGATGACCCAGATGGCAGTCAGCGACCAGAGGAAAAGCTTTCGACGACCGACCTTGGCTGGCAACGTGGCGAAGTAAATGGCACTGAACCAAGACAGCATCTGGTTGGTAGCGTTGATGAGAGTCTGCTGAAAATCCGAGTTGAGTCCGACGGAGTGCAGAATGGGCGAGAGGTAGTACGAGACAAAGGCGTTACCGGACATCTGCGAGCAGATAGCTGCCCAGACCATGATAAACATACGTCTGCGGTTACCAGGAGTGCTTCCCAAGTCCTTGAGGAAGACAACGATGTTGTTATGCTCAGATGCCTCGGCACTCAGCGTCTCAAGGATCTCGTTATACTCGAACTGAACAACAGGGTCAGAGGAGTCACCCTCGCCGTGGTACTTGGCAAGCATCTGAAGCGCCTCATCGTTGCGGCCCTTGCTGACGAGCCAAAGGGGCGACTCTGGGACGAACCAGACAAAGAGAAGCTGGACGACAGAGGGAAGACCCTGCAGCGCTGAAGGAATACGCCAAGATGCAGTGCTCTTAATGCGGAAAGTACCAAAAGTGCACCAGCCGGCGATGATAGAACGGACGGAGTAAAAGGTGAGGAACAGAGCTGTAGCCGTTCGCTGAGCAGGGTGGGCAATCTCAGTGATGTAAGGAGCGCCAACTCCAGCGACGACGACGCTGCCTGCGCCGATGATGACTCGTGAAATGATGAACATGGCGATATTCATAGCTGCACCCTGAATAGCTGCACCAATACAGCAAAGCGCAGCGCCAGTGGCCAGACCCCATCTTCTCCCAAAGGTATCGGCCGCGGGGGAGATGAGAAACGTGCCCATGATACCGCCGAGAGGATATGCAGCGTTGAAGAAGCCGAGCATAGCGCCTGTTGGGGTGCCAAAGTAAGTCTGCCAGTGGGAGACTGACTGCAGACCGTTCATCATACTTCCATCGAAACTAGATATCATATTAGCTTTAAGTTGAATGGATACGGGGTAGTCGACTGACCCTTGGGAAAAGATCGACAGAAGCGGGATCATCATGAGAAAGTTGAGGGTGCGTAAATTGGGCGACTTTAACCAACGCTTGGTATCAACAGGCGATGGGGGAAGAGCCATAGTGTTAGTTACTCCAGATGAAGCCATTGCGCATACAAGACGTAGCAAGATAGACAGTAAAAGGTAGACAAGGTCAAGATTGAACAACTGCGATGAGAGTAGGAGTTTGATGCTGGCTCAGTCCATGGCTATATACATCCTTCTCACTCGCCACGCCCTGTACTCGGGATCACTTCGACCGAGAACCAGCCTCCCCTCCCCCCTCAGCCCATTCCCACGGGGTCGTCCATTGGGGAAAATCTGGGGTACGCTAGCAGAAAAGCTCAAGGGGGGGAGATTCTGGACCATCACGTGGGAAGACGAATCCGAATACTGGGCCGGCATCTAAGGGCCAACATGCCCCGAAGTTTCTGCACGTAAAATGCAACCTTGACGGCGAAACATAGACCGAAGAACAGCCATGGCCTCGTATGTTTACCCTTTTTTTCACGAGATTCCCCGGAAATAGACAGTGTGGAGAAGGTTGATAACTGATCGTGCAGATGTGAGCGGTGCAAGCAGCGCAAGGCAAAGTGCGACCGCCGATTACCGACGTGTCAGCGCTGTGAGAAGGCAAAGGCTGAGTGTGAGTACGGGGGGAGGCGGAAGTCGGGGTTTCCAGCTGGACATCGCCAGATGCTGGAAGACAAGATCGGTAAGTCTCGACTTATTCTCTCCCCCATCATATGGTTCTGTGAGGTAAGGTAAGGTGACTGTCGGCTGACTGTTGGTTCCAGAGAAGCTAGAGTCCGAACTACGCGCCATTCGCAGCACGCCGCGAACGAGCACAGCAACTGATCAAGCACCTCCACAAGACACCATCGAAGTCGAGACCAAATCACCCAATGACCAAGCAATCCGTTCGATGCCCGTCGGTGAAGCATCACCTACCTTTGAGCGCACCCGCAGAGTCACAGAGCGCAGACCACCAACCGACCTCGTCGTTTCCCTCGCCTCTCTTTACTTCCGCCACATCCACCCATGGTTTCCCTTCCTAGATGTCCAGCGCGTCTGCGCCGACATGGGCTCTATGGATGAACCTGCGCTGCTGTACTATGCTCTCTTTGGGGTCACGCTGCCATACTCGTTTGACTCGCGTCTTGATCAGGCGTCGAGCGATTCGTTTTGGAAATACTCTAAGCGCAGCATATTTGTTGATGTGTTGGACGAGCCTTCTTACAGTTCGCTGGAGGTTCTTACGGTGCTTGTTTTGGACCTTTCGGGCATGACGCATGGACCTCAGGTCTGGGGTCCTTTGGCGGTGACGACGAAGCTTGCGGTGCAGCTTAAGAACACAGATGGGCTTGTCTTTCGGACGTCGATAGAGGCTGAGGGCAGTGAGTCGCTGAGCAAGAGTGATGGTATCTTCCGGCAGCGGTTGTTCTGGGCCATTTATGCTCTCAACTGTACGATCTGCATCACCACCAATCATCATTCGACCTTGGGCGACGATCATGTTCACCACTTTCTACCTGCGCGACAGCAAGTCTGGAGGGAGAACCTATCAGGGGTAGACGACGCATCGCTTACTCCAGCGTCTGTGTTCAGCTACCAACTGGAGCTATTCGACCTTTCTCGAAGACTTCACAGGGTTGGAATGGAAAACAGCGCGCTGTATAACAATCAAGAGCTGGAGTCGACTTGGCTGAGCGAGTTTCATAATATCGCAGCTGAACTCAGTTCGTGGATGGAGACACTGCCTTCTCGGCTATTCTGGCATAACCATAATATTGTCGAGGACCGTGTCCCAGGCGCTATCCGCCCAGCAACCTTTATGCTATATGGGTACTATTACGCTTTGGATATCTACTTAAACGGCTTTCTCGCTATACCACGTCACTTCAACTTCCAGTCCGAATCCCATCTCGAGATCCGCCGCCAATGCTTAAAGCGATGCCTCACCAGCGTACAAGCCTTAGCCCAGATCGTCACAAAGGTCGCTGACCAAACAGTCGATAAGCTGGGCTGGCCATTTGCCTAGTCCGTCTGGGTAGCGGCTCGCTTCCTAACAGCACAAAGATACTCCACAGGAGAAACTGATCCCGAGACCACAGAAAAAGTCTCACTGTTCACAACCTTTCTCAGTACCATGGGTCGTTTCTGGCAGATCAGCGCCAGTTACGCGAGGATACTGCGTCGAGCGACTTCTGATCTTGATGCAGGGATTGAACCAGGACAAGGGACGATTCTTCAGCTCATGGCTGATCTTCGAATCCCGACGTCTCATATCGAGGATCAGTTTAGACCGGACTCTATGCTGCATGGAGTGATTAGTCCGGGGCAGTCTGGTTCGACGTATGATAACCCGAGCTACATGGATGTTGAGAGATTGGATACTCTACTCCCTGTGTTCGCTGACGATGCGTGCTTTGATATGTCCCAAGATCCGGATAATTGGTTTCGCATGCCGTTATTTGCATCATCAGCATATCAACAATTAAACGCCCCAGAACAGGAATGACACTTAGTTCTAACCTTTATATTGACTTTCTGTTGTGCCGAGTAATACTATACTGTCTAAGATCTTGTCCATGTGAAACTCATGTTCTGCGAGCTCTTCTCAACCATCCCCGGCCAACCTGGCAAATTGACATGCACAGAGATTGACTCGTCTAATCCCTCAAACCCCAGCGTGACTCGCGTCTCTCCATCTAAAGAGCTCCAACTAACCTTTGCCAACACCATCTTCCCCTCTCTATAGAACGGAACAGTTGCTTCGAGAGATGTATAAAGACCCAAGCGCGGCGCAAACTCTATCTCTTGCCATCCTGCCTTTGCAGGCCGTATCCCCGCAACCTCGGCCAAGAACTCATAGATGGGAGCGCTGCCCCAAGCGTGGCAGTCTGAGCGGTGTGAAACATCGTCTTCTTCCCAGGTCGTTAGACCAAGTGATAATTGGTGACGCCATGGTTGCCATAGAACATGGAAGAGTTCGTCGTACAGAGAACCTCCTGCAGCACTGATGGCGTGAAATGTGTAGAAGGACGTGGAGATCGACGTCTTGATAAGTGGTGTACCACTCTGAGAACTTCCAAGGGCGCGGTTAAGTAATGCCTGAGCGCTATTACTACTAAGTTCTGTCTGCTAGTTTAAGCTCTTAGCTATAAGCCTTAACTGTAAATAACATATCTAGCTAATAACTTAGATATTATATTATAATAACTAACTAATTACTATAACTAAAGGCTAATATTATAAAAATCTAAAAGATAACTTATTTACTTACTATTATAGGTTATAAGAAGGTACTTTTAATTTATTTTCTAGAATAATTAAATATAAAATAATAAGTAAAATAGCAGCATACTTACTTAAATAAAGGCTTAAATAAAAGCTTAAATAAAAAATAAAACCTTATATAAAACCTTAAATAAAACCTTATTTATATAGTATATTTAAATAAATTCTAATAGTAGTATATTAATAGACTTTTCCTTAACTTTATTAATATTAAAAATTATTAAAAGACTTTTAAAAATAAAAATAGCTTTAAAAAGATTAAAGCTATAAAAAGATAAATCTTTAAAATTATTAATATTAAGAAATATAAAAAGCTTCTTAATAACCTAATTATATAACTAGCTATTCTTAATACTTATACTTTTACTTATACTTAAAAGACTAAGAAAGCTATTAAGTAAGAAAAAGAAGTACTAAAAGCCTTTCTTTATAATAAGGTTAAAGCTAAGAAAATAATAAAGTTAATTAAAAAAAAAAACTAAAATTAAATTAAGTTCTTAGTTAAGCTATAGCTAGTAATTTACTTAAATAAATAACTTTTAAGTATAGTATATAGCTATTAGATTTATTAAGAAATACTAATATATAAGAAAAGCTTAACCTAAAGAAAGTTTTATAATAATATATATATTAATATAATTAGGGCTAAGAAAAATATTAAAAAGAAGGTTTAGGGTAATTAGAAGGTGGTAGCAGAGTTAAGTTTATAAGTCAATCACAAGGTTAGAAAATACACTTCGACTTTAATACAATAGCGCTGTCACCACATACAGCACCACTGAGAACTGCCCAGACCTGGTTGTGCTGGCTACGGTCAACTTGAGGATCCGAGCAAGCAGCAATACTGTCTGTAAAGTATTGCCCATCAAAACACTGGCGTTTAACCGCATCAACAATTAGACCAGTCCGATTACAATACTCTTCAGCAAGGAAAAGTCGGCCTGCACACTCTCCCTGCAACTTGGCCGCTAGCTTTAGTGTATAGGTATACAAGCTGTTTGTGTATGTCGAAACCCCGGATTCCTCTGCTGAGGGCGGAATGCCATACGGCCTCCACTGCTCCGCCCAGTCATGAAAGTTCCAAACGCCCTTCTCATTACCTAGGCTCACGAGATCGAGACGTTGATCAATGAGTTCGTGGAAATACCCTAGCACGGCATCCACAACAGGTAACGGAGGCCGAACAAATGCCTTATAAGCATAGTAGAGGAAGTGATCGTGTAACATGCAGATCCAGTAGAGGGAGCCCGGAGAAGTGAGGAATGATCTGTAATTGAGTTGAAGGTGCTCTACTGGCCGTAAGTCCAACGCGAGGCTGGAATGAGCTATGAAGCTGCACAATTGCCTGTCTGGCCAAACGGTCATCTCCGGATACGTGGTAAGTGAAGAGACAAGAGCTGCGTGTGTCCATGGCGTATTGCAGCTGTTCGTAAAAAGGGCAGTCCTCGTAGCAATCATGCATGCAGTTTTGTAGTGTTCTGATACTCGTCTCGTACAGCGCTCCCAAAGTCCCGTCATCTGAAGTCGTGCTGATCTTTGACAGTACGTCCAACGGATAATTCACAACGTCAATGTCGATGCCGCGCATGATCAGGTCAGATGACCCAGTCTCAATGTTCAGTCTCATGAAGCGAAATGTGCGCCAGTGAAAAGGCATGTATACTTCTTCTGTATCTTCCTCATCGTAGTAGCCTAGACGTGGATTCCCATCTTTTCCCTGGAAAGCATAAATATCCTTGGGTCCGATAAGGAATTTGCTGGTATCGCATCTGTTCCCCTTGCAGCGAAGATATGGAACAAGCACTGGGGTGTCCTCATAACTTTCAGAATACTTTATCGTAAGACAAGCGCCTCCAGCTTCCGGCCGAACAAAACGGAAGCGGATAAAAGCAGTTGTATGGACGGGAGTCTCAAGGTCAAGTTGATGGCTTGATCCGGCAGAAAGAAGGATATTACTATGTCCGGACTGTACACCCAGTAGTCCTGCACTCCAGGTCTCACGGGACAAGCCGCTCTGAACATTGTGAATAGCGCTGAAATAGGATCTCTGGCCCCTCATCGGCGGGATGAGGCGCGGCGATAGTTTCCACGGCGCCGTGACACCAGTAGAGTTCTGAAAACGGAGGAGTGTCGCTGGAATTCACTCCAAGGGCGTGTCGCGTGATGCAGAAACCATTTCGTATACGTGAAGAAAGTCATCTTCTGCCTCTTCGACGCGGAGAGTCACACTATGATCTATCGCCGTTTGCCAAAGCTCGCTACTTCGGACCTGGGGTGCCCAGACCTCATCATCAACAGTAGCTGCGATCTTGACACCACCTGTTCCCAGACGTGGAAAGCTAGTCCCGTACGAAGTCCCATGGAAGAGTCGAAGGACATGAATAGCGATGTGGTTCTCGCCTAAGCGCAAGTATGGGCTGATGTCGACCTCGTCGTAGAACCAGAGACTCGCATCTCCCTTGACAGGTCCAAAAGCGACGAATTGTTTGTTGATGTATAGCTTGTATCGCCTATCGGCTGTGATCTGAGTCGGAAGCAACGTCGATATCTCAGAATTGACGACGAATGTCTTGCGGAAATGTACGAAGCGACCGGCCGTGGACGTGGCTTTTTCGATGAAAGCGGGATTCCACATCCAAGATGTGTCGAATTGTTCGGCGGCCATGATGGGGATACTCTCGATAACAACGGCTGAAGAACTACGGTTTGGAGGGGCAAATGGGCATCTCTTCAGTCATTGTGAAGCGCAATTTCAATGTAGTGGCACTCGACCCACGTTGAGCCGGGGCGCCCTTCGGATGTTGTAAGACCGAGACATACCTCGTTTAACGGGAGCGGGCGGGTTGACATGCGCCGACCAGTCCGACCCATTCCATATCCATAGGAATTTAATTGTTATCTCGGGGGTATGCTTGGCGAGGCTTTCAAGTCAAAGCTTTGTGGTTCCGTTCTTTGAAAATTGTTTATCAGAAGATTCGGGCCGTATAAGATGCCGTGCCAAATGATCTGATACTGGAATAACATCATACTTAGTCCCCGCCACAAAATCTTGCCACGATGTACTTAAGACCTTAGAGGGAATTCTGTCGCGCTATTTCCAATATTCACGACAAATTGTGCTTACGAAACAAATTGTGCTTACGAAACTGACATTTGCAACACCATGGCGGTCCTTTCTCTTATGCCTCTCGTCATAGCATTAACTCGCAATAACTATACAAGGCCGTAGAACGATGCATCCACCAAGACCAGTGGCAACATCTTCAGCAGCTTTCAGATTAGTCAACGCTTCAGAAACGCTGTCTTGTAGCTGCATTGGCGGCTTATGCCTGGTAGATATGAGAGTGGAGAGTAAGGATAGTTACATCTCCTTCTGTTTGGGCATTGCTAACTCTTGTTGCGATTTTCCACACTCTGAGGTATGTAATAACATTACTTCCGGTACAGACTTTGTAGATACTTACTATTAGAAGCTATACGTATTATAGTATTAACAGCCAAACGGCCATAATTGGTTTATAATGCATTCGGCTAGTCAAGGCTTGCCCTGTATAGTGCTTATCTATATCTTCACAAAGGCTAGCCTCTATTTCAACAGAATAGTGCGACACGGCGGCCACTAAAATAGGCCGCAATACAAACTGAACGATTGCCGAACCTGAGGGGGTTTATCAAGGTTATCTGGCCAGTATGATGGAAAAGGGAGAGGCTAACGCATTATGTGACAACCTTGGGCTGTAGTTGCTAGACTGATATAACCCTGCTATTGTATTCCCCATCGTACATCGGATCAAGAAGGTTTACTGGTATCCCTCTACCCTCTATAACTTCCATGATCTGCCCCTCTAAAAATGGGTTTTCTCCATGGTGATACACATAGTCCATTGCCTCACGGCTCAAGTCTATAGCAACGCCATCCATCTTGGATTCATTCTCAACAACTAGTATAATAAGCTTTGGCTGATTGCTCGACGGCCTCTCTCTCCAACCCAGGTTACAGCGCAAGTCCTCTAATAAATCTCTGTAAGTTCCCTCGCCAAAAAAGAAATCAAGGAAGCTCAACTCAAGCGACTCCAGTGACGATGGGAGTGTAGAAATGAAGGCGATGACATCTCTCTGTGTGACAAAAGATCGAGAAAGTGCAAAGCGGCGTAGATTCGACCAGTCCTTGACGGGGAACATGCTCCGTAGCGGCATACCATTCTGTTGGTATCCCACAATGTTGTGCCATGCCCTGGTTACAGGAGGAATGCCAGTATCGATACTAAAATGTTGCAAGTTGTTTGCTTTGCTCAGAGCTCTGAAGAGGAGTCCAGAACGGAAAGAAGGCCAGTTTTGTTTGGACTCTGAGCCGCAAGCAAATGATAACTCCAAGCGTCTCAGTGGAGGGTGACTCAGGATAGTCACAAGATCGCGATACTCCTCACTGGCTGCACTGTCAAAAAGACGGCAGGTGGTTCCCGTCCAAAGCAGCCGGCCTTCCGTGACAAACTCGGAGAGCTGAAACATCGGGTTATCACGGACATGTTGGGCGACCTCTTTCGTGACAACACAGAATCCACGCCATTTTCGTTTTGATGTTTCATCCCAAGGTGTAAGGGGGTGTTCTTCCATTGTGATCGTTGGCCAGCCTTGTTCCACAGGGTATATCAGGCCTGCTGGCAAAGATCTGATCGTAGGCGATGGATACAGAGGTCTTCCCAGAATCCCATGAGCAGCAGGACTCAGAGTAACTCTTTTGAGGTTTGGAAAGCGTGAAAGACCGTGTCTCAGAGCATCAGCGTCCCGGCCGTAAGCAAGTACTTCATCTTGCTGTGCCTTAAGCTTGTGATATACCTGATATGACTCAGCCAGGGTGCACCGAGTCTTGAAAGCTTCCTTGACATGAGACATAGACTGAAACTCCTCTTCCCTAGTGTCAATGGCACCTAGGGTGGAACAGTAAAACATTCTAAACCAGTACGGCACTCCTGTGGGATCATTAGGGTCTCTATTCCACTCTTTATACCGACTGCTCGAAGGGTGACCAAAGCGCGAATCATCGTAGATGACCTCGGTGACTTTGAACCGGAAACGATCATGGTTCGCGATCAAGGTGAAGACCTCAATGTCGCGCAGGTTAGTCGATAAAAACACACGGTCAAAGCGCGGAAGAGATGCGTTTCCGAGATATGAGCATGTCAGGCGGAGATTCTTAATGTCGGCGTTAGGCAAAGTACAGATGACTTGATTCAGAAGCTCGAGTGGAAGGCGATGGAGAATACTAAGATTATCCGGTCTTTGCTCAGTTGAGTTCATTATGACCGAGGCGACGCAACCAACTGCGCTGTGTATAAAGGTAAAGGTAGGTCTGAGTTGAAATGAGCTCAATCATTGCTCGGCTAATATGCTGAGGTTTAGCCTGGAGAGGGGGATTACGACGCCTGGAGCACTCCAAAGAGTAAGTGAGTGGGGCCGACATGTCCAATTAAAGAAAACAGATTGCAACCATCAGCAGCCAACCAGAAATAACCAATGCTTGGTAGATATACACAAATAAATTATTTGCAATACTGAGAATGGGCCTTAATTCAGGCCGGTATGATATTGTCAGATGCATCAAACTATAGCTCCCTATAATCTCCTTATCTAAGTGGCATATCTCCAGTGAGGATGGTCATCGCCCAGATTATCAGCATCTGCACCCTGAAGTCTATGATCTCTCTCCCCACGATCCCTCTTCTTATTCTCCCTAATCGCAAGGAAATAGAACGCCGTACAAGAAATACCGCAAATCCATACCATACCAAGACTAACCCCAAGGCCGGTCCAGTACTCAGGCGCCTCACGCGTAAGATACACATTCGAAGCGACGATACCGCCAAGATTACCAAAGCCAACCTGTGCAGCTGAAGCAATGGAGCGTTTGTAGTGTCCGCCCATGGTGTTGGATAACCATCCAAGAAGGACGGGCTGTGTGATGTAGCCACCTGTGACGAGGAGGAATAGGGCAAAGTATCGTGCTGCAGTGGGCACTTGGTGTTGGAGGAGAAGGAGGATGTAGCCAATGCTTGTCATTACGACTCCGAACATGGTGAAGCCGTAGCGATGACGCATACGGTCGGCGAGGTATGCGGCTGAGAGACAGCCTATAGTTGCGACGATGTATACTGGGATCGTAAGGACTTGTGCGCGCTCGGCGGCGTAGCCCATCTCTCGGAGGATAGTCGGGATAAAAAACTACAAGAGTCAGTACGGCTGTTTTTATCTGCGCGGGCTGTATCTTACCGAGCCAGCATATCCGTTGTTGACGATACCAAAGTATGCCAGAGTGCCGAGATAGATCTTCCAGTCGGTCAAGATTCTCTTCCAGGCTGCCTTATTGAGATGGCTCATCTTTGCATCGCCCGAGTCATCAGCTAGTCGAGCGACAAGTCTGGATCGTTCTTCGTCGCTGAGGAACGAAGCTGTCTCTGGCCAATCGGGGATCCACCATTTGGCAATGACACCGACAACCACCGTGAGAATGCCCTCGAGGATAAAGATCCTATAGATCATTAGCAAGTGATAGCGGTAGAGGGCGGGAGACATACCAGCGCCATGCTTCAAGACCGCCGACATCATGCATCTTGGCAATGGCGAACGCCAAAAGGCCAGAAAAGGCACCTGCCAGGATAGCGGCGCTGAAGAAGAGAGACATACGCCATTGGACTTCGTAGCGTCTGTAGTACATGCTGATAAGGTAGATGCAGCCTGGAACAATACCGGCTTCAAAGAAGCCGAGCAGTACTCGACATGCGATGAGACCTTGGACATTATTGACAAGGCCCATGCCGACAGTAGAAATACCTGTTGCAGTCAGTGGCACATTCACCAGAGGCAATACCAGGTGGCAAGCATACCCCAAAGAACGGTAATTCCAGCAAGCCAAAGAGATGGCGATATCCTCTTGATCATGATGTTGGATGGGACTTCAAAGATGATGTACTGCACAGCTCGAGTCAGTCAATTGTGTATAATTGTATCGGATCGCTTGGCGTACGGGAATGAAGAAGACGAAGAGTGCCATATTGTAATCGCTGCCAGTCATCTTGAGATCCTCTGACATTCCTTGGATCTTTGCGTTGCCTACATTCCAAGACCATCATATCAGCTTCAACCTCTCTAAGACAGTCTGTCGCGTGATGGGAGCATACCGATGTTGGTTCTATCCATAAAGGAAAGGAAAAATATGACCATCAGGGGAGGAATTAAACGAAGATCGCACTTCCGCAAAAGCTTCTTGGTAGCCTCTGACTCCTCAGGTGTCTGCTCCACGGTAGACTCAGCACCCTTAAGCGAGGCATGGTCGAAAGTAGCTTTCTCGTTGAGGTCAGCCATAATGGAAAAGAAGAGTGATGATTAATAGTTTTGAGCTGTAGGATGACGAGGGACAGGGTGGTGCATGCCTCCTTCTTATGGAAGTGGGCGACTACTTAGCCTACGTCTCGACTCAGCAACGGTTACCCTCGAGTCCCTAGCATTGGACGAAAGCATCTAGATCGACAAACTGAAGAGGGATAGCCAAGTGCGGGGTGTGGAGGCGGGGGGACTGGGATGTTGCCGTGTGATGGAAGAGGAATTCCGGGGTAGCAAGGTCATAGACGACGTGTTAGGATCATGAAATGGTTGCGTGGTAATAGCGTCATGCAAGATCCGAGGAAGAATGATAACGGCATAGCCTATCTTGGCAGGCATTCCAAATACTGCATAATACAACGTTTTACAATAGCCCGGGTCATTCCCGAACGCGTCCACGGTTAGCATAAGAGATAGTAGCTACTATCAAGGTTAACCGGGGAAGTCAAACGGCTAGACGGATGCCCATATAGCTAAATCCACGGCTAGGAATTTGCGTTGTCTGATTGGAGGCGGGATATCCATACATCATGTTTATTTATGCTTTGACATGTAATATCCCAGCTAGCTAGTGATGTGAGTTTCGCAGCAAGAACTGTAACTGGCACAAGCGTGCATCGGTTACGAAAACCCTTGTCCGTCACCGTCTAGCGCATTGAAGGATGCAATGCAACACAAACAATGCTTGGCTTCAAGAGGTCGGGCACAACCCGGAAACGCGGGTTGGTCTCAGACGAATCTTGTGCTGAATCATTCGGAAACTTCGGAAGTATAAACCTGACTCACTATTCACTTGGGGAATAGCAGAGGAAGCGTAGTGATAAATAAATACAGTAGTGGGTAAACCACAGTCCGATAACACTGCTATTAGTTGAATCATGCTGAATAGCTGTTGCATTTAATTGATAAGTACTCATCTCCTGGTCGCTCTCATGATCATGATTCGGGGTTTGTTGTGATGCCGGAAGCGGGGGATAACGCCTCCACTGCCGAAGTCAGTTGCCAGAGCCGATCCCCCGCTCGGGAACCAACCGTGTCTGGAGAACTCCTCTTCGGATGGATCCCGCGTTTCAACGTCAAAGGTAAAGAAAGACCTCATGAAGTTGACTTACTTTACTATCAATCACTTTATATCTGTACCAATATGAGATTAGAAGCTCAAACCACAGAATCAGATCGTACAGGTCCTGCATCAACAAAGCCCAGCATGTACGTAACTCACCACAGTGATACTTCGCGTGACTCACGTAGCGCAGGTACACAACATCTTTCGCCTTCTTCGAGGCCCTCGTCGAAGCAGGCGTCAAGAACTGCTTCGTCAATCTCGGGTCTGACCATCCTAGTATTCTTGAGGCCATGGTCAGAGGCCAGCGGGAAATGAAAGATAAATTCCCCAGAATCATCACGTGTCCTAATGAAATGGTTGCGCTGTCCATGGCAGATGGATATGCGAGGTTGAGTGGCGAGGCGCAATGTGTCATTGTGCATGTTGACGTCGGGACATCTGCTCTCGCGGCTGCAATTCACAATGCTGCTATGGGAAGGGCGCCGGTTTTGATCTTTGCTGGTCTTTCGCCTTATTCTATTGAAGGAGAACTTCTCGGTTCGAGGACTGAGTTTATGTAAGTCCACTCTACCAGGTTAGCAAATCTCACTGACCATTATAGCCACTGGATCCAAGATGTGCCGGATCAGAAGCAAATTGTCTCTCAATACTGTCGATACGTCGGTGAGATCAAGACTGGAAAGAATGTCAAGCAAATGGTCCGTCGCGCCCTCCAACTTGCAACAAGTCACCCTCAGGGTCCCTCCTATCTCATGGGCGCCCGCGAAGTCATGGAAGAAACCATTGAGCCATACAACATCAACTCCGCCTTCTGGAAGCCCGTCGCACCCGCAGCACTCCACCAAGAAGCCGTGCAAGAAATCGCAGAAGCTTTGGTCAACGCCTCTGACCCATTGGTCATCGTCGGTTTCACCGGTCGGAACCACGCTGCTGTTGAGCCTCTTGTCGCGCTGGCGAATACTATCAAAGGCCTGAGAGTTCTTGATACGGGATGCTCGGATATGTGCTTCCCTGCTGATCATCCTGGGTGGCTGGGTATGAAGTACGGCGTTGACTCGGCGATTCAGAACGCCGACGTTTTTCTGATTTTGGACTGTGATGTTCCGTGGATAAATAAGCTTTGCAAGCCAAAGAAAGACGCCAGGATTTTTCATCTTGATGTTGATCCACTAAAGGAGAGCATGTTGGTGTTTTACATTGATGCTGAGCAGCGATATCGTGTTGATGCAGAGACGTCACTGCGACAGATCACTGATTATCTCCGGGCATCTCTGTCCGAGAAGCTTGCCACTTCTGAGTTTGATCGTCGGGAACAAGCTCTACAGCAGTCTTATACAGAGCGTATTCGAGCTCTCGATGCAAAGGCCAAGCCTCTCGAGTCAGGCAAGCTCACAACCGATTATGTCTGCTCAATCCTACGCGCCAAGTTACCCGAAGACACGATCTGGGCCGTCGAGGCCATCACAAACATGATCGCCGTCGCAGATCAAATCCGCGCTACCATCCCCGGCCAATGGATCCACTGCGGCGGCGGCGGTCTCGGCTGGAGCGGAGGCGGTGCCCTCGGTATAAAACTCGCCGCCGACGCAGCAGACGCCGGTAAGCGCAAACGCTATGTTGTGCAAATCGTAGGTGACGGGTCATACATGTTCTCCGTGCCTTCAAGTGTATACTGGATCTCTGCGCGCTACGGCATTCCCGTTCTTACCATCGTGTTGAATAACCTGGGCTGGAATGCGCCCAAGAGATCGATGTTGTTGGTTCATCCCGATGGACCTGCTTCGAGGGCGACGAATGAGGAGCTGAATATTTCGTTTGCGCCGAGTCCGGATTACGCGGGTATTGCCAAGGCTGCGAGCAATGGGGTCATATTTGGTGCGAGGGTTGCTGATGTTGACGAGTTTCAGAGTGCATTGGCTGGGGCGGTTGAGAGTTTGGATAGAGGCGTCTCTGCTGTGTTGGACGTGGCGATTTAACAACGAAGTTCATTAGATACAAGTAAGAATACATGACACAACTCCTTTATTAAAGACTTTCGCTGCTGTGGCAGTGGATGATTTAAACCTTTAGGATAAGCTTCTGAGGAGTTAATTCCAGCTAGTTACCTTTTCTCTAATATAGGGGTCTAATTATTATACATTAGCTAGCAACCTTCAATCCCTAACATTTATGGTCCACAATCTGTTTGCTTTTATAGAGAGTGAATAATGGGCTGTGCCTATGTAGACCGCTGTAGTTATCCCCAAATTACGTTACGTAAACCTTGGAAGCTCTTAACTCCGTCACGAGATAAGAGCCAAGCAAGGCGGGGTAGCAAGACACGAGACATATAGGATGATCTGACTGGTGTTACGGGCAAAAAGAGGGGTTGTAGCGGAAAAGTCGAGATAAGCAAGAGCCAATGCTGTAGCTACACGAACCCGTCATTTCTCTCAGTGCGGGGTTTATCTCCCACGCATAGACAAATATCAGGATTTACTCATCCCCTAACTTGCAATCGGTGTGATACCAACAGCCAGCATCTATGTGAACACCCCTATTTGTGAACATGTCTGATTCTCTCCAACTAACTAACTTTGATATCTGTAACATATGCTTATCAAAGGTATTCTGAGTTATAAAGCTAACGATCGGCAGCCCATGGCTACTAGCGGCCCCGTAAGCTTCCTCTATCTCTCTGGCGAACTTCGTAACGCTATATACGAAATCATATTAGTGCAATCCAAGCCTATCGATCCTTGGCTTAGACGTGGCTTACAGGTCCTAACAAGACTTTTTTACGTTAGCAAGACAGTCCACCGTAAAGCCAGCCTACTATTCTATAGCCAGAATTGCTTCAATTTTGCTAAGCGCGATCCTAAGAAAATAACTTCCTTCCTCGAGCAAATCGATGCGCGTAACGCAAGCTCTATTCAACATATCATCATCGACTTCCCAGAATCCCTCCATGACCCTAGCGATGTCCTGACTGATGAGGACACTGCTAGTATACTCGGAGATATTAAGAGCAGGTACACTACCTTGAGTACGATTACGCCGTCCTTACATAGCATAAGGAATATAGATGGAGCTTAGGCTCGACAATCTAGACTACTACAGCATTGCTACTAAGATGCTGCATCTTGTTAATACTCACTTTAAAGCTATTCCTTCTTTGCCAGAAATCATTCTTGAGGTATATGAGGACGGGCCGAGTGATAGTCTTAGAAGGAAGATGAAGAGTTATGGATGGGTACTAAGCGAAAATGCCTTTGAGGAAGAGAAGTACTGGGACGGAAGGCTCAGTCATATTGACTCCGACGACTATGGCTATGACGACGACAACAACAGCTATGATGGCGACGATTACGATACTGATAACGATAGGGACTTTTGGAGAAGAGTGGCAGACTAAATTGTGTATGTTTCTCTAATGTGTTATTTGCAGTTGGGACTTGTGGCTGCGAGCTTAAATCAGCAGACAAAACTTAGTATATGTTTCTCGAATTGATCCTAATAACCCTACTAGTCAATTATAAAATCAATTGATCAATTGTAGGCCGGACTGGGTGGTTATTCACGAACACCATTTGTCATTCACGGCGACCAAACCCTCCTGTAAAGCCCTGTGGACTTTCTAGTCCGAGGGGTTCGCAGCAATGACGGCATTGTGTACCAGTGTAACATATTCTTAGGATAAGAATGAAAAGTCATGATAGGTGTTTTTCTTGACAACAGATAGATAGATACATTACTCTGTCGTAGAATGTGTTCGCTGCTATGACAGCGGATGATCTAAACCTTCAAGACAAACTTCTCACCACTTGCGCCCGCTCGAAGAAGATTCAGCACCTCCTGTGTCGCTTCTAATCCACCATCAATAATACGAGCCCTCGGTGCAGGCTTAATTCTCCCACCGTCGAGAGCCTTGGACAACCAGCCGCCGAAAACCCAGCTTGCGATATCTGGAAAATTGACAGTGAACCCCATGCAGTTGGTGTGATGTCCTTCAATCCCAGCTGGCAGCGACGTTTCTTCCGGCCACGGAGCCAGCGCAGTAGCCTTGCATCCTGATGTTAGATCGGCGGCAATCAATATCTCCACGACCGAATCAAAGGAGCTGCCTTCAGCTCTAGCATCGGTAACGCCGCGGACCTTTGTCCCGGAAGCTTTCAAGGCTGCGGCTATCTTCTGCGCGACTTGAGGGTCACGATAGTCCCATGCATCTGTCGCGCCCAAGGTCTTGAGCCACTCGTGATGCTTTGGACTTGCAGTCGCGTAGACAGTCCATCCTAGAGCATGTGCTATCTGCACTGCTGAGACACCAACAGCCGAAGCACCACTCCATACTAGTATAGCTCCATCCTCCTCAGCGTTGCTGTCATGCATCGGCAGCCCGAGACCGTCGAACAACGCGATAGCCGCAGTGAGCACACCAACAGGAAGTACAGAGCCCTCCTCAAAGCTGATGCTCTCGGGTAAGTGAGTCGTCGCCACTTCGTCGAGCAGGGTATAAGTCTGAAACGCTGCCTTGTCGATGTTTTGGCTAATGACACCTAGGGCCAAGGCAATCACCCGGTCGCCGGGCTTGAAGCGTGTTACACCTGGTCCCACGGATACAACGACACCGCTGAGATCACTGCCAAGCACAGCGGGAAAGTTGTTGGAGAGACCTAGGGCTTGTATTTTCCAGTCTGAGGGGTTCGCAGCAACAGCGGCATTGTGTACCAGTAGTTCACCTTCCTTTGGGGTTGGGACAGGACGCTGTTGGATGGTCAATTGACCTTGTTTAACGGGGAGGATAGCGGCGACGTTAGGTTCCAAGTTATGAGACATCCTGCAGGGATTGCACTGGTATCCATATACTAGGTACAAGATTGACGAAGCTAAAAGAGTAAGAATAGAGCAGGTGACCCTCGTAAAGCAACTACTTAGATATCTCTACTATTCTACGGACGGCTTTGTGTAGTAATATACGTCGAAGAATGTACGAATACGACAAGGTCGGTCGGAACAATTTGTCATTTTGTTAATTAATCTTCTATCATACGACATCAACTCATTGTTCTCATCGATGTTCGTCTGATACTCGTCCGAATGACAAATCAGAATCGAGGGGATCAAGAGTCAAGATGACTGGCTGGTGAAGTCGAGTAAGCAAGTATTTGCGAGAGTGGGCCGAGCACAAAGCATCAGATTGGCTCATCATAATAAAGGAACTATTTCCTCCTCCATTTAGAGTCAAGTCCACGAGTATACCCGTCACTAAGATAAGATACAGCTTCGTATCACCGCCCAGTCACATACACAGCTCCCTGTCTAAGGATTAACAGCAAGCTTATCAAAGTGCAGTCCTCCACCAGACGAACAAACATTGCTCTGCTGCACAATCCTCGCAACATTCTCACCACAAGAAAACCCCTGCTGACAAGCATAAAAGTCCTGCGCATTACTCCCTCCCGTCCATCTCATGCTCTGGAAGATAACACCATTCGCCAGCGCGTTCGTCCACTGGTAGCTCTTGCACGGGTCCCAGGTAAGCATGAAGGGGTCGTAGATGACATTCTGGCAGCCCGTGTCGGAGTAGAGGGCGAAGTTGGTGAAGCGGAGGGGAAGTTGGCATGCAGCTCTTTGGGCGACGTCAGAGGCGGGTGAGGCGTCAGCTGAAGATGAGGGGGCTTTGGAGGTGGAGGCGGGTTGGGAGAAGGGGAGGGTCTTGACGGTTACTTCGGCTGGGGCTTTTGGCGCTGCGATGGCGATTGGGGCTGCAAGGAGCAGAAGACCGATGTCGCGGAAAGAAACCATTGTGTGACGTTTAGATGTTACACTAGGAATGGGTGTCTGGTGTAGAATAGTTGGTGAAATAAACTCTGATGTTTGGTGTCAAGCTGGAAGATGCGAGGAAGCCTTTACGATTATATAGCCAAGTTTGTATAAGCTACCGCATAGCTGAGTGGAAGCGATAGACAGACACTACGGAGAAATTACTCTACGTTACCCGGTACGGCCCGCTCGAATTGCGGGATCACCGTAAGCGATGCAACACAAAGGTGCCCTAAAAGGTTCTTTGATAAATGAAAATTTGCCGAATCGGGGGGTAAGATGGCCAATGCAACAGCCGCTTACTGTCGCCGCTTATGACTGAGACCTGGTGATGGCCACGACCGGCATGGCCGCTTACTGTGTCACCATCAGCTGTAGCACAAAGATCAGATCATCCTTAGTTCCTCTCCTGTCGAGTAGTCTAGTCTCTGCGATCGAAGATCTTTCCTGGGTTCATCAACCACAGCGGATCCAGACTTGTCTTGATAGCTCTCATGACTTGAATCGGTACCTCCCCAAGCTCCTCGCGGAGAAACTCTTTCTTTCCAAGCCCGACACCATGCTCACCCTGGGCATCATTGTTAGATATGTCATTTTCCAGTTAGGTTACATAGCTTACCGTGCATGTTCCCTCCATCTCAATTGCTCGTGAGACCATTTTGTGGACACAGTCCTCAACCGCTTTGCGCTGCTTTTCCTCGAATAGAATTGTCTCGTGGAAATTCCCATCGCCGATGTGTCCAAGAATACTACCGAATAGTCCTAGCTCGACCAGCTCTTTCTTGGATATATCTATTGAAAGTTAGTGCTTACCGTAAAGGGAGAAATAGGGAAGGCAAACTGACCTATAAGCTCAGATACTCGGGATAGAGGGACAGCGACATCCGTCGACCAAACATGTCCGTCTGTTTCGCGAAGTGCCATCATGCTCCAAAGTGCCTCTTTCCGCGCAGACCACAGAGCCTTCTGCTTATGCGGATCACTCTCATACTGGAAACCATTTGCCTGATGTTTCTTGGAAATACTCTGGACCTGTGCGATACTATCCTTGACTACAGCATCACTACCACTAAACTTGAAGAACAGCGTCGGGACTTCGTTCCACTTCCGAGATGTCGCACCCATTTTGTTGATGACGCTCATAAGCACCTCGTCAAGGATCTCGACAGCGCTGATCGGTACGCCTCGACGGATGACTTCGATGGCCATGGTCGCTGCGGCTTTGACTGATGGAAATGTGACTACAGCGATGCCAGTATGTTCAGGGATGGGAGCCAGCTTCAGCGTGGCTTCGGTGATGAAACCCAGTGTGCCTTCTGATCCTACCAAGAGTGAGTTAAGGTTGTAGCCCGCCGATGACTTTCTCGGCCGTCTTCGGGTCTTAAGGATGGTGCCATCGCTCATGACCACAGTGAGGTTCACCACCCAGTCTCTCATGGTACCGTACTTGACGGCATTCGTTCCACTAACGCACTGTTAGACCTGGTTGCTTTCTCTCAATTAGGCGTACTGACCTACAGTTTGTCCCAACCATACCACCAATTTGGGCCTGTGATATATGTAAGAATAAATACCTTCTTGTCGAATGGGGAGACTTACAGAAGGGCCAGGATCGATCGGGAAGAATAGACCGGTGTCTTTGATCTTCTCATTCAGGTCCATCCATGGAACAGAAGGCTGAACAACGACGTTCAGGCTGCACAATCAGCATCATCCTTAAAAAATCTCTTGATATTGCCACTCACTCGTCGCTATGGACTTCTAGAATCTGGTTCATGTTGACAAAGTCAACACTCACGCCGCCAAAAGGCGCGGAGAAATGGCCCTCAACACTTGAACCACCAGAATAAGGAACTTGGGCCATCAATTATGCTCGCTAGGTCAGTCACAGGGTATCACTTACTCATCGGTACGCGTCTCTTGTGACATATCTTTGCAATTGTAGAGACCTCTTCCGTCGTCTTGGGGAACGTGACAGCTACTGGGAGCCGGTCGATATTTATGGTCGACCAATCCGAGTAACCGTGAGAATGGAGAATCTCATCTTCTATACTGACTGCATCTTCGCCGAGTGCTTCCCGTATCTCTTCCACTGCCTGAATTTCTCAGTTGGATCTGTTTGGTCGATATCATCATTGCTTTTGACTTACCAACTCCATCTCTGCTCGACTTGCATAATGGGAATCATCATCTTTTTGCTCGCCATGGCTGACTAGAGTGTATAGCAATGTTCCTCCAATGGTTGTTGCTGTTGCAGATAATGCTGAGGCAAGAAACACTGGTCTCTTTCGCTGTTCTTGTGTCCAACTCTGACTACTTGACTCTGATTTGCCGTTACTGGTATGTCGGACAAATTGAAAAGCGGGCTTGGCTGTCAGACCCACTACACATTGTGACGAAGGTCTTCTCAAACACCCCAGCAGGGCACGATTCGGTGTCTTGAGCATGATGAAATTGGAATAGACGGATTGGCAAATATGAATCAGCACCTAATCACCCGGTGAGACTTTTCATGACATTTGGGGCCTTGAACATGAAAGAAGTTAAGAACCCATGAGCCGATTATAAGTCCCGGGTAGTCTCTCCCTTATCAACCCTCTAACCCAAACACGGATAGTCCTCAACGGATACTTCCCGTTCCCCATACCATTCAACCCGAGAAACACCGGGTACAGCCCGTAAAAAAGGCAGACCCTCCCCTCAATCTCGGCTTCATCAGTTCCCCCGCTCTTTTCTTCGCAATGGACATTCCGCAAGTACAGGAAGAAGAAATAGTAGCTCGTCCTGCCAAGCGAAAAAGAGTTGCATTGGCATGTGACACTTGTCGCGAACGGAAGATCAAATGCGATGGGTCGAAGCCAGTTTGTAATCCCTGCAGGAAGAGAGGGGAACCAGCTGCGCGATGTGCTTACACTGTCATTGCGGGCACGGCAAAACAGCTTAGTGAACAAGAGTAAGTCCTTCATCTAATTGGAATACTATTTTTCGGGTAATGGATGGTATAGGTACATTACATCACTGCAGAAACAAGTGCAGGACATGCAATTGGTGATAGACCAGCTCCGCCAAGATGCAGAACTCATCCCCAAAAGCCCCAGACCCGGTACAATCCACGCCACAACAAACGGCCCAAGCCCTGTGAGTACAATGGGCGCCACAACACTCACCCTGGACCGTCAAGAAGATGAGTTCTTTGGTCAATCATCGGTCCACTCCCTTCTCCGGGAGGTTCCTCACCCCGACCGCCGCAGCCGCCGCTCAACGGCCCCACCTCGGAATCGGGACAAGAGTTCCGCGACATCACTTCTAACAGCCGAATTTGCGTTGCCACCAAGACAAGTAGCTGATAAGTTTCTGGATCTGTACTTCGATAATGTTCATATCTTCTATCCTTGGACGCATTCTACTTGGTTCAAGAAACGGTACGAGTCCTTATGGACGTCAGGTGGATATCCGGGGGCGGAGACAGGCCGGACCGGCGATATTGGCCTGGGAGGAGACCAGTGCCCCGAAACCACCTTCTTTTGCGCTCTGAACGCCATGTTTGCCCTGGGATGCGAGCTTTCTGACCTACCGGAGAAGGAGTCTGCCTCGGCAATGTTCAGCTCAAGAATGAGAAGCTTGTTGCAGATGGATGTCCTTGATAAAGGCGACCTGTCACATGTGCAGGCGTTGCTCCTAGCAGGTGACTACGCGCACTCGAGTGAGCACCCCATAAGGTGTTACAACACCGTCGGCCTGGCGTGTCGCATCGCTGTGGGACTGGGTCTACACACAGACAAGCATGCTGATCAGAGATCTGCCATGGAGAATGAAGTGCGTCGGAGGGTTTGGTATGGATGCGTACACCTAGAAATGTTAGTCATGGTCGATAAGGACACGTACTGATTACTGGCTAACACTATCTCAGGGCAGTCTGCATGACCTTGGGGAGACCACCAGTTCTGCAAGTAACAGAGGGCGTCTGCGTTCCCGCTGCAGTTGACGATGAGTTCATTTGCCCTAATAACACCTCATGCCGCCAACCGGAAGAAATAGTATCACAAAACCTTTTCGTAGTCGAGAATATCCGACTAGCAAAGATTCTCGGCAAGATCCTGTCATCGATCTACTGGCCCAGTTCATCCTCCGACTTCAGCGCCCTTGTGCGTCTGGACGGTCTTCTTGGAGATTTTAAAAGTTCTCTGGTGAGTGATTTAAGATGGTGGGATGTCGACAAATCGAAGCATCAAGGAGCCAGAAGCCATATTCTGAGGCGTCAGACAAATGTGCTTCATGCAAGGTTCCTTCACCTGAGGGTTCTGTTGTACAGGCCTAGTTTCAGTTCATTCTGCGCTGCAGCAAGACGACCACGACAACGCCGGGGTGCGGGTTCCGGCATAGATGAGGCCGGCATCGATGCTAGCACTTTGCAGGATGTGTTTCAGGCTCAATGTGCCACTACGTGTGTCCAGGTTGCCTACGAGTTATCAGCATCCCTGCGAGCCGCGTGGGAAGTGGAGGCGACAGGAGCATGGTGGTTTAGATTCTTTTGTAAGGGAGTTTTCCGCCGCCGTTACGGCTGCACTGCTGACATGTTACACTCCTAGATCTCATGACCTGCGGCGGTATTATCATCCTCGCCGAGTGTGCTCAAGCTGGAGGAAGCACGCATTTCAACCAGCAACAGCTCGACGCCACTTGGGAGAACACCACGGTACTTCTTCGGGATATTGGCAGGGAAAATGCCCGAGCGAGGGGATACTTGGACCACCTGGTACTTTTGAAAGACCAAGCACGGTCTGCTCACTTCTGTACGTAATGCTGCATCTCAACTACCAGGACACTGTCGCTAACGCCTATGCAGCCATGCGCAACTCTGTAGTTCCGTCTCGGGCATCATCTCCCAGACCGCCTGCCAGCCCTGTAGGTGAGAACCGCGATGGACCTGTCGCTCAAGCGACAGAGGGGCAGCCAGAGCCCGTTGATTTCATGGCATCATGGTTTCACGATAATTGGGACTGGAGCCTTGACGGCGGTATGCCCACTTATGGTGGTCTTGGATTCGGAGACGAGTTCATCTTTCCTCTACCTGGTGGATTAGCTTGACTATTGTAACTATTGCCCGTATAATGTCGACTATGATATTCGCAGTCGATCCGCGGGGTTCACCTGTCCGAGCAGAACGCGGGCGCATGGCTGCACTCTTGATCTGCGAGCCAGGCTTGGAGAAAGCACGTGACCTAACCAATAAAGGGAGATACTGTAACAGGAGATCCTGAAAGATTGACGACGACGGTGCGTTGCGTTGGCAGGTGGTACTGATGACATATCAAATCCGGGTTAGGGAATGACAGTATCACTGGAACTGGTATAAAAAAGAAGGGAATATAAGTAGTGCATTTCGGGATTCGGTTTGGTATCGCAGGTCTTTTTAGACTGAGGGGAAATCTGGGCTCACGGGAAGCATTCGATCGTTGCTCGAGTCTTGTACCAACGGCACCCTCTGGAAACTCGCCACTCTCCAAGGCTTCGCTTCCCGGGCTGTGGAGCTGATGTGACATTGGATCCAGCCCCGTGGGTTCGTTGAGCCAAGCAGTCTTTCGCGGGAACCCCGCGATACAGCACAGTCAGTGCTACGTCCAGAAGGGTGCAGGCCCTCGATGGTGTGCGGAGTCACCAATGGTGGATGAGTAGGTAGGTAGATAAGTATATCAAAGGTCAAGGTCTTGCACATCATCCGCTTCGGGCGTTATCAGTTCCTCTATCATACACCACCCACACTCTATCCCATTGATTACATCGATTACAACAGCATGGGCAAGGATAGTCTTGAAGGCAAACCCCGCGTGGCCATGTCGTTGGCGATCAGGTCCTTACCCTAGACCAGATAATTCAAGAACTCGTTGCCGTCGCGCCTCCATTCCGCCAGAACAAGAATCTTCTCCAGTCTCTATCTCTTCACTATCCCGACCTGTGTTCTCCCTCTCGGATGCATTGTTATGACACCCTTTACCAGCATAGTAGGTGATCACTTGGAACGACAAATGGGTATCTCTGTTGTCGCCGTGTCCACTCCGAAGAGTGTACTTAGCTTGCCTTGATCTAGAGCATCCGCCCCCAATCTAACCAAAACCATTAATCTCGTCCCCCGTACACCCTTCAGTTATTTAACGTCTCAGGCAGGGAAAACGGGCTTTATTTAATCCGGATCAATCACAGCTCTCCTTCAACAGACCCCAGCGCGGCAACGCGCTGTAGTAGCTACGTGCTGTTGCTGCGATCATGATCATCGGCACAGTTCTCCAAGGTGCCTCTCTCACTGTAAGGAGCTTTCCTCAAATCGTTATCTGTTTCATCTCATTCCTGTTTAGTCGCCATGTTCCTCATCTCCCGCTCCGTAATCGGTTTCGACCTCGTCTTCGTAAACGCCTTCGCCCACATGCTCATCGGTGAACTCGCCCACCCGAAAGGATGACAAGTCATCACATCTGTATGTCAGACATCTTGGTATATCGGTGCTATCCTCGCTGCTTGCATGATCTTCGGAACCTTTGGCATTCCGTGGAGAATCCCGTATCTTCTACAGGCTACCCCATCTCTGCTTCCCATCACATGCGTCTTTGCCTTCCGGAGTCTCCTCGATGTCTCAGCGTAAATGGTTGCAGTAAAGAAGTAAAGGCTCTACTGGTCAAGTGGCATGCTAAAGGAATGCGGACGAAGAACTTGCCAAGCTTGAGTTCATCTAGATGCGGACATCGAAGCAGAGGTCAGTAACGACACAGGTTGGTAGGTCCTCCTGACGCCACCTGGGAATCAGAAGCAAGTATTTGCTCTGGCTTGTCTGGGCTGCTTCAGTCAGTGATCGAGCAGCGGTCTCGTTTCTTGATACCTTGTTCGTGTGCTCGAAACTGTTGATGTAAGCAACGCTTAAGAGCAACATTCTCAACGGCTGCCTCATGATCTTCAACGGGCTAACCTCCCTTTGCGCCAGTCTCTTGAACGAAGCTCAAAACACCGTCGCAGGAAAAGCTGTCATCGCTATGCTCTTCCTCTTCTACTTCTTCTACGACTTGGCCTTCAACCCACTCCTCTACTCGTATCCTCTCGAGATCCTTCCGTATCCCATTCGTGCCAAGGGTTTCTCGCTTCTCATTTTTTCGGAAAGGCGAGTTACTTTATCAACCCTATCAGTCTCTAGGCACTGGCGTCGAAGTTTTGGTTTATTTATATGACCGGGCTTACTATCGACCTTGCTATAGTTTGGAAGCTTTTGGTCGAGACAGAGCGGCCCAAGTCTCGAAGCTATCGCTGCTGTGTTCGACGGTCATACCACCGCGGTTGAGCATGAATCGCAACCCTTGAAGCAGAAGAAGTTGGAGGAAGATGAGTTAATGCTAAGTAACCGGATCTATAGTGTCTCAACCTATTATAGTCTGCCCTATTTCTAGGATGAATCTTAGAAGTCTCTGTACAGTTTGTGGTTTATCGGACGATCGCCAATGTACTAGCTGTAATTGCTACTGCTTACTACCGGAATAAATATTGGCAAACAGACTGCCACAAGAATCCCTCATGTGCTCGCTGTAGATTCTAGCCTACTACTCAAACAAATGTTGGCAAACAGACTGCCACACCAATCGCCTCTCAGTCCATACTCAAGATGACTTCGCCAATAGCGCCTCCTTGTCACCAGCCTGCCGTTTCTTTCCCTGTAGACAAGACCCACCAGCTCCTGATATTCCCAGATAAACGAAAAGGAGGTGGCGAGAGCAGGCCCAGCATCAGATGATGAGAATGTCGATTTGGAGGCGAGAGTTGTGGCATTGCTCGACATTATTACAGAAGTAGTATGACTTAAGTAGCTCGCAATAGCTCCTATGTCGTAGCTGAATAAAACTGCTTAAACAAACCTGCAACCGCTGTTCACGAGTAGACGCGTCTCCGGTGGGATGGATGTCTAAGAATAAAGTTCGCGGTGGGATGACATCTCGTGTCGGATTTCCGGTGGGATCCGCCATGAGGCTTCGCCTTTGAAAGACGTCCATTGGTTCTGCTATTGCTAGACCCGGTATCTTCAGCAGTTGTAGCGCCACATTCAGTCAAGTGAGGTCCAGGCTCATGGTTCTCCGCACTACGTACTTTGGGGTCAAAGCAGAGTTCAATTCCCCACGGGGTTGACACTGACAAGAACATGACTTAAAAGGGAGATGCCGACCCCTCATGATAAACACAAAGGATCAGCAGCAGCGATTCTAAACATTGATAGATCTCCAACCACGGTCTACAAGTTATCAACTGTCAACTTCACGTCGCAACCATGGGTGTAGACAACACCGTCGTGAACAAGCACACGCTCGAGGGTCTTGACCTCGCCGATCCTCGCACCATCGAGCTCATTCAGCGCGCTCAAGATGGACACGCCGCCGATAGAGATCTCACTATCCGCCAAGCCCTCAAGAAGTATAGAAAAGCTGTGCTTTGGTCTTTGGTCCTGTCAATCAGCTTGGTCATGGAGGGCTATGACCTCGTCATGGTACGCAACAGGCCTAGGCTCAACTCCTGCAAGTTTGCTAACTTCAATCGTGACAGCTCGGATCATACTATGGCCTAACCCAGTTCCAAGACCACTTCGGCGAGTACAGCGCCGCAGAGGGCAAGAAGGTCATCTCACCAGCCTGGCAATCTGGCCTTTCCAACTCGTCGCAAGTAGGACAATTGGCCGGTCTTCTGATCAACGCGTGGGCGCAAGATAAATTCGGTGCTCGCATGACAATGATGGTCTTCATGGCCTATCTTGTCGGCACCATCTTCATTCTTGCTTTTGCGCCGTCGCTGTCTGTCCTGGCTTTCGGCGAGGCGCTGTGCGGTGTTGCTTGGGGTGTTTTCCAGGTAAGTAAAGGCACTTTGACTGCATGAAGCTGTACTGATGGAATCCTGCCTTAGACTCTATCTACCACCTACGCTTGCGAAGTCGTCCCCACGATCCTCCGTCCATACGTCACCGCATGGGTCTGCATGTGCTGGGGTCTCGGTATCCTGATCTCATCCGGCGTCGTCCGCGCGTGTCTAAACATCGAGGGTAACTTGGCCTGGAAGCTTCCCTTCTACCTTCAGTGGGTTTGGCCGGTGCCGTTGTTCTTCGTGGCGTACTTTGCTCCCGAATCTCCATGGAATGCCGTCCGCCGTGGTAAGATCGAACTCGCTAAGACATCCCTGCGAAGACTTGCCTCGGACGATGGAGATAGAGAGGGAGAGATCGAAGCGAGCTTGGCGTATATTCAGCATACCACTGCTTTGGAAAAGGCCGAGACTGGAGGAGCTTCTATTCTTGAGTGCTTCAGAGGTACCAACTTGCGTCGAACCGAAATTGTGAGACGAGATCTCTTTTTGTCCCTTCCTTGTCACTTGACTCTAACCTCTGTACAGAACTGCGTGGTCTGGGCTGCCCAAATCCTCTGCGGAAACGCCATCCTCGGTTTCGTCGTCGTCTTCCTCCAAGCCGCAGGCTGGTCCCAAGTCCAGTCATTCAACCTCAACATCTCCCTCTCAGCATGCTACATCATCGGCGGCATGATCTGCTGGGTTCTCTTCCCTCGATTCGGACGAGCAACTATTTATATGAGTGGTTTGGTGTTCATGTTCTGCTGCCTTATTGCCATCGGGGCTCTCGGATGGTCCACCAGCAAAGACGCTTACCTTGCTATTGGTCTGCTCTTTGTGGTGTCAACCCTGTGCAACATGATTACTATTGGGCCGGTGTGCTATCCTATTGTGGCTGAGACTCCTTCGGGACGGCTTAGGTATAAGACTATTGTTATCGGGCGGTTTGTGTATAACCTTACTGCCATCTTCAACAACTCCGTTACACCAAGGATGATCTCGGCGTCTGGTAAGTCCATCTGCAAGCAGCGATGATAGTCATAGGAGGAATTCTAACAATAAGTCCAGGCTGGGGTTGGGGTGCCAAGACAGGTCTTTTCTATGCCGGAACAAATGCTCTTTGCCTCCTCTGGTGCTGGTTCCGTCTTCCTGAGACGAAGGATCGTACCTTTGGTGAGATCGACATTCTCTTTGAGAACGGCGTTCCTGCAAGAAAGTTCAAGCATACCAAGGCAGATCGTAAGTATTTCCATTGTTCACCTGCTTCCAGAACGTGCTGGCTAATGTTGCTGTTAGAATTCGCACTTGAAAGTGACTACGTATCGGAGAAGGTTGGACCAGCTGTTGATCACAAGGATTGAACGAGTCGTGGCATCATCTCCAGAGGATGCAATCAGACGATGTAATAATGTTAGTAGAAGGATGGGGATTGGCAGCAATGTATGTTTATTTATACGGATCTGTATTATAAGAGATTGCATGTAATTGAATATCCAGATTCAAACATCTCGTTCTCAACGTCCTCTTCTGATCGATGTCTGATGGCGAAAATATGGTACATGGTTATGGCTACATTAGTTTCACGACCTCACTCGTAATCCCCTTATAAAGGCCACCTATATCGTCCTTGAGAAGGCTTCCGATAGGTTGATCATAGAAAGCCGTACATTCTTCCAATTCTGCAAAATAAAATATCCATAGCCCTCTCAAGAGCTGCTCAGTATCTCCGTAGCCATTGCCTCACCAACAGCAACAGCACCCTCTATGAACCCCGCGCAATAGCTCGATGCCTCAGTCCTAGCGAAATAAGTCCCCCCAACCGAGTTCGTCAGCCCTAGTCCAAATTGAGTCCACACATTCGGCGGGCTTGTTCCTTTACTTAGCCTCGGTCCTTACATCGAGACCTGCAACTGATGAATCTTGATATAATTCCATCCTGGCCAAGGAAATTTGAATCCGGAACGCGACCGCTGCCTGTATTTTAAATCTAGTTCCAAAATAAAACATACTGAGCACTGTTAATTTTATTTACTTTCTTTCAATTTACAAGGCGATTTTATGCAAGAACAGTTTTCATGGTTTAACATGTAATAACAAACAATTTTGCGATTGAGAATTATTGGGTGACTGTTTACCCGATAAATAAGCTATACAAGGAGTGAATGGTGTTGTTGTTAGCTGCCTGCAGTAATCGAGGGTACACAGCCCAAGGAGTGTGACGTTTCGGTAGATATTCAAGGAAATTGACAAAGAGAACAAGAAGAAAAAGAAAAAGTTAGGAGAAACATGAGGGGCTAAAAAGCTAACCCTAATGGCAGATGCAGCGGCGACGACTGAAAAGCGAGCGGCGTCCATGCCCATGCACAGAACAGTTGTCGTCAAAAGAGCTTGCAGGGGCTGAAGGCCGGGAGGCAATCTTGGTGTCGAGCTGCTCGATCTTGGCAGTCATAGCATTCATCTTCTCAATAAGCTCGCTGTCATTCTCCTCTCTCGCCTTCGCCTTTATGTTGTGTCCACTATAGGACGAACTAAGTACTGTTAGTTTCGTTGTCCGTTGTCTTTTAAGTTGGACGCAATACATACCCAGCGGTCGTGTAGGAAGCGGAACTGCCCTTCAAGCTCGAAGGGCTAGAATTGGGAGACTCATCAATCTCATCTTCGTCAATGTCCTGATTGAAAGAACATCGTCGAGAAGAGCAGTTATACCATGCACTTGGTACAGGTCCATTGCCCTCGTTTCGTCGGCTGTGATGACCGCATCGACACCGTGGGTTGGCAGAGGATATGCCCACCATGTCATCCCAAGTGATAAACCGACGTTTGTGGTCTGCCTGACAGTAGTAGTAAGGGCGACCAGCCGTGGTGCTGCGCTTTGCAGAATCAACTCTGCTGCGTTTAGGCGTGTTGGGGCACAGAGGGCAGTTTGGGGGCTGGATGAGAGGGAATTGGGGGGACGAGGTGTGCTGGGAGGGGTAGTAGGCTTCCATTGTATGAGAAATATTGTTCAAATAGTTGTATGATGGTAATCTGGAATCGAGAGTTGCTGGTGAATTGATTATCTAGAGACTAGAACGGTGTGATGGCACCTTTATATCCTTTTTGCGATTGCTTCTCGGCTGTAGTGCTGCGTGTATTGATACGTAGGCATCGACCGCAATTCCCACCTTGATCATTGAGCCCCATTCGCGGTCACCTTGGCAGGCCGCGAGGCTGATTTTAAGCATCATGTCATGAGGAAGCGCATGGGGCACACACGTTGCCATTGACAGTTGTGCGTGTTCAACTCCTTGCCACAATGCGCCATGGGATCTCAAGTTTTGAAAACATTTTCAAAACTCAAGTATCGTTGACTGATTTCCCGTGTACCAATCTATTATTTCCTTCTTCTAGCCTACTATAGCTTCAGCTTGTCAAACGTCAAGTCTACATTTCCGCTCTCGTCTTCAACTCTCTACTCCTTTCTTCCCGTCCTCGCGCACCCCACGCCAAGCGTCTCAGGTCTACCGAAGACAGTCACTCCGCGTTGTCAATCTTCAAGCCTCGAAAGAAACACTCAATTCCGATTCGTAGATCATCGCCTCAACTGAAGGTGGGATCCAACTGCAGCAATCGGCACCTGCGTCATCCACTAAGAAGTTCGTCATAACCGCCAACCGAAACTCAACTGACATCTTTTCGTTTCCAATTACGAATCATGATTCTCAGCTTTAGGTGCGGCTGAATATTCTCTTGCCTCTGTGTTACTTTTTTGGGTTGGGCGGCAATTGGTTGGCTCTGAGCTGCTGGTCAAAGTTCAGCTGATGAAGTTAACCAATTGACAGCATTTTCATGATTCTGTTGGCCGCGACCGTTGAATCAGGCGTTTAGAATCAGTAATAAGCTTAAAATCAACGACAGATGGCACTTTATTGATCAAAGTTGATGCTTCTCATTAGGCGCCAAGTATGTGGCTTCAACCTGCATATGCGACCCCAAATTGGATATGGCATCCACGGCTCTTTTAACTTGGATGCCAGAACGGGTATTTCAACTGTGCCACGTATGGTTACTTGCTCTTCCGATATTCAACCTTTGTATCATTCATCTCCTCCTTTCACCTCGCTGATGTCTTCATACTACGTCCTTTATGAAGAGCCCCGGCCAACAGAATACATACAGCTACTACGTCATTCCACATTAATATAATCATTCTTTCTATTAACTATTACACAACCTTAGAGACTATCATAGATAACAGCGTTACCCTGTCCCTCCGCCATTTCCGGAGAAGTATAACCCGCAGTTTCCAACGGCCGCCGAGCCCCATCCTTTATTCCGATCTCCAAAAAATGATCTGACCTGCGGCGTCCGCGGCCCGCACCACGACGTAAACCGCGACGCAACATTGGCCGCAGGCATCAAAGTCTCAACATTATATGCGGCCACTGAGGCTTCACCTCAACATTAAGTAGGCACTCGCGGCGTGGGATACGAGACTAGTTGACTTGGAATGTTTCAATTGTAAGGGAAGTTTGCAGATAGATCCTGGGCTGACTGCCAGGATTAGCGCGTTAAGGCCGGGACTTGAATTATTGCCGGAGATTCTGTAATTAGCCCTGCTCAATTGATCGTGGGGCGGTGAAGGTCGGTCAGCCCAAAGGTGAAGACAACTCGTGCCATTACTTCCGCCCATTTCTTTTGGGTGAGAAGTGACCGGAGCCCGCCGGGACGGTACCCAAAGATTAGGTTCTAAATAGAGCAGTGGGGGCTCCTGCGGCTCTCCCACTCATTCCAGCGCATCGGTGGTCAATTTCGGTCCACTACAGGGGCCCAAAGTATTCTCCAAGTCAGGCCACTGAGCAGAACTAAGAAAGTGGATGAAGGCCAGTGTGATAGGACCGGATAGCCAATGCTATACCACTATAGTCTTAGCATCCACTACCGAGAAGTCATTAGCCCTGAAGCAGCAGGATATTCAATTCTCAATATGCTCCGATGGTGGAGAGACTGGCCGAGATCGCCGGGCCTAGCAGTGAGACTTTTTCCCTGCTAGGGCTGGGTTTGTAGACGGTATAAGTCCGATCCTCTATGATCTCATGCTGATACAGATCCATAACTCTCCTGACTTGGCAGGGTCTAGACGGACTTGAGTCTGCGATAAGCTTGCATCTTGTTTATCAACTCTGGATAAAAGGCTCGTGCTGCCTGATCTTGTATCAAATCCCCAAGACAAGTTCTTCAATTATATACTACAGCAACTTCACGTTACATCAATTCATCATGAGCAACCCTCTTGTGGTTAGCATCTCCAACCTGGCGGCCTACACGCCCCAAGAAACAATCGAGCTTGTTTCCCGCTCTGGCGTCAAAAGAGGCAACATGCGTCCCGACAAGGTCTTTCTCTCCGCCGTCTCCGCAGGATGTCTTCTTGGCTTTGGCTGTGGCGTCTCGTTGTGTGCAATGACAGCACCCTGGTACACTGAGAACGCGCCTGGTTTGGTAAAGCTCTTTGGCGCTGGTGTTTTCCCTCTGGGTCTAGTGCTCGTTGTCCTTACGGGCGCGGACTTGTTTACTGCAACTACCATGGTAAGCTAGCCTGATACTTTATCGTTGTATTGTGGCTGATGAGGTTTTAGTTCACTTTAACTGCGGTTTTGCAGGGTCGGCTTCCGATTCGGAAGATGCTACTGCATTGGGTCCTCTGCTTTTTCGGCAATCTTGCAGGATCGCTATTTGTCATGTCTATCATTATGGGATGTAAGTTGTCGAACCCACTAATTGCTAAGGTCACGATTAACATTCGTTTAGATGGCGGGGTCTTTGATGCATCACCCTACAGAGAAGTCGTCATGTCCTTCGCCAGCAAAAAGCAAATATCGCCGCAAGTTCATCAAATCTTCCTCAAAGCCATCGGATGCAACTGGCTCGTCTGCCTCGCTGTCTTCCTGGGCATCCAAGCCAAAGATCTCGCCTCCAAGGTCATCGGTATGTGGTGGCCCATCTTCGCCTTCGTCGTCCTCGGCCTCGAGCACGTTGTCGCCAACATGTTCTACATGTCTCTTGCCATCTGGCTCAAGACACCCGACCTCACTGTCGGGCTATATATTTGGAAAGGCATGATCCCAGCTACGATTGGCAACATTATTGGCGGTGGCATGTTTGTAGGCGTGTATTACTGGTACATGTACTTGTTTGACGAGGACCCTGTCAAGGTTGATGGTGTTGAGTACCAGGGTCCCCATGTGGATTCTCACCTGCACATGCACTTCCTTGCCAACAGAAATAAAGGTAATGTCACCGATGAGGAGAGTAGGATTGAGTCAGCACATGTCTCAATGCCGGCCAGTGTTCTCGCGAAATAGGGCATTTGAAGGTTGAATGTTAGATACGAAGACTGTTGTAATTCTTTAGACCTAGAGTACCGCTACTTAGCTAGACATTAACTTACACCGTTTAACACATGCCTTTGCTACAGGCCTCTCTGCAAGTGACTAAATTTGATGGAGATTCCTGGGTCTTGTCCTGCATGGGCCAGCAAGCTCTAGGCGCGGGAGTGGCGAGGTAACTAGCCCGGGTATCGCGACAGTTCATCTTGCATTATTCCCAGAACTCAGCGCCAGAGCCTTGTGGGCTTGTACCCTGCGGACATGCCCGGTGACCCTTCGTAATATTCCTTCGCCCGATAATGTGGCATGGAACTTGTCTCGGTGAGCGGTAAAGCCATGCTGGCGTACATTTCAGCCAACGCCTCAAGTTCCTCAACTCGATAACGGCCCGATGAGATCAGCAGCTCTTGGGGTCTTCTTCCAGATAGAATCGAATGGTTTTGCATCAGATCAGGACCAGCTGTCATGTCATGGCGTGGGTGACACTGTCAGGGACAGACTTTTGCATCTCCGCGGGGAGACCATATTTCTCCACACCAGTCGAGGTACCTCCACGGAGAGACCTCGCCAAGTCCTCCCCTGGCCGGTTTCAATACTCTGGAATAGTTCCCTCAGAATTCGGCAATGAGACGGCCGGCCAGTAGAGCTCAGCAACAAAATGTGGGTGCAGGTCATTCCCGCCCTCATGGTCCCTGGATTTTATATGTTTCGTTTTGTACTCCGGAGATATCATGAAGAGACAGAGACGTCATTTACATTCAGCAGTGGTGATCAATAGTCGATATGAGACTAGTCCTTCCACTGACCCTATGTGCTTACTTGTTTGCACCCAATTGTAGTGGTGAAAGATTATGGCTGTCAGGTTCACGCTACATGGACGTTCACTGACATTCGAATTTCGAAACATCTTAGAGATGATACGCTGGGACAATCCATGAATGTCAGGCTAGTCCCTCTATCTTTGTTGTATTCGCTACTTATTACTATGTGATTTGACAGCCGCCTATAAGGTTATGTTATTGTAAGCAGTAATGGCATATTCCTTGACCGAAGTGAACAATTGAAAGGCCCTCCCCGTTAAGCTTAGGGTAAGCTGATGGAGTCTTAGCCGCCCAGTCTAAGCCTAGCGGCTATGCTGTCATCACCCAATCAGACAAGTTGAAAATGAATGCTGTGCCACAAGAGGGGAGATTCTTGTCGATCGTAAGGCTGCACAACGGGCCAGTTATCGATTCAAGCCAAAACAATCAAACCTCTTCACTTCACATCATCTCTGTCTTAGAGGCAATATGCGACTTATCAATACCACGACTCTCGAGGTTGAGGAATTCTTTGATGTCTCCATCCCAGAGTATGCTATCTTATCGCATACCTGGGCCGACGGTGAAGTCTCGCTTCAAGATTGGGCCGATCGCAAAAACCGTCGCTTTAAGCCAGGCTTCCAGAAGATCATGTGGGCTTGCGCTCAAGCCGCTGAGGACAAGCTAGGTTATATCTGGGTAGACACCAACTGCATTGACAAGAGCAGCTCTGCAGAATTATCCGAAGCTATCAATTCCATGTTTAGATGGTACAGAAGATCTGCTGTCTGCTATGTATACTTGGTGGATGTCCCTGCCTTGACGCTGGACGAATGTACCGAGCCGGACAGTGCGTTTAGAAATGCAAGATGGTTCACAAGAGGTTGGACTCTTCAGGAGCTGATTGCACCGCCTAATTTGCGGTTCTTCTCTAGCAACTGGACCATGATAGCGACGAGCGCTGAACTGGCGCCATCTATCACCGAGATCACAGGGATCCCATGGTCACGTCTTCTCAAGGGCCGGCTATCCAAGTCACATCCACTTCGAAGATACAGTATCGCACAGAGGATGTCTTGGGCGTCAAGGCGCTCGACGACTCGTATAGAGGACCAAGCTTACTCTCTCCTCGGGCTTTTCGATATATCCATGCCCTTAGTATACGGAGAGGGCTATGGGGCATTTACCAGGCTCCTCGGAGAAATCATTCACAAGTATGCCGACCAGAGCTTCTTCGCTTCTCAACTACAATATGTCGATTTTCTCCCTCGCTCGCCTATGGAGTTTCGTGACTCCCAGTCAGTCGTGGTCAGCAGTTCGCCTCAGCTCCAGAGGCATTATAAACCAGCAGAACATTCGCACTCATTCCACCTGACCAACACTGGACTGCAGATCATTCTGCCTATTGTGCCCACTGTGGTTCCTCACTTTGTATTTGGCGTCCTCGATTGCTGGGATATCGAGACTGCTAGTACTACAACAACACGCAACGTATCACGAGTATGGATCCCGCTGCTTCGGAAGGGCAATGAAGAGGCGCAGAGATACTTGCGATTAATATGGCCTCAAACCTTCTTCTCTGTAAAGCTACCTCAGAAAGACAGTATCCTATCTCACGCTGAGAAAAGGCTTTTCTCTGAAGGGGAAGGAGATTCAGAATCTGACTCAGACAAACCGTCCGATCATGTGGAAACAGTATCAATGACCATGCAAACAAGCATTCTGGTAAAGAAGCCATATGCGAGCATTCTATCAATCCCTTTGTGGCACCCTCGCGAGGCAGGAAGTCCATTTCTACTCTGTTTCCCCCGAGGAACCTTAAATTATCGTCTATATGGCATTTTCCCGAGTCATCGTGAGTCGGACCTCGAATGGGCATCGGAGACGCCCCCTTTGCTACCACTCATAATGCCACGCCGGATGGATCAAAACAATCCCTATATGAACACTAGCGAGACGTCTGCACAAGGCCAACTAGAAGTCTACGCTGCAGTGATCGTGTTCAAGAAGAAAGGTTCAAAACCTGCGGAATATGTCGCTATTTGTTTGACAAATGTTAGACACATGGCTGATGGGAACGGAAGCAGGATGATATTCGAGCCAAGGTGTAAGATTATCCCAAACTGGTCACCGACAAATGACCAAGATGTGAAAGCTGTCGACTTTTGTGCCTTTCCTGACATCGACCATACTGGTGACACCTTAGTAGCGGTGCAGAAGATAGCGAGCAATCCCCGGATCACAGCGAAGGGCCGCGAGCATCGCTACGTTGGACTGACACAAGTTATATTCGACAGAAGGCAGATGGTAGAGGAATTGCGCTTAGTGTCAGGTAACGAAGAGAAAAGATCGAGGGGAATATTGGAACACTATGGGCAGGAATCTTCAGACGAGCACACCGTCTCGGGTAGAGGGCATGTATGAGACTCGAGTAAAACGAAAATTTGTATGCGTGTTGCATATGCAGCTTATAAAAGACTAGAATTCTGAATAGAAAGCTTGAGAAGTATTGAATATATACATTAAACTGTGCATTTAAAGCGTCACAGTTCCCCAATCATGGTCAAGAGCTTAGCAGATCTGCTGGTAGTCTCCAATCAATGGGCAGACCGTCACAGTCTTGCAGACTGGGTTGGGGTAGCCTGGGAAGTAACCGGGGCAGAACTCGGCAGTGAAGCGGGTGTCCATGTACTCCGACCAGGTGGCAGCAGGAAAGCACTACAAAGGATGTATTAGTATTTTTTTTTTATACGACAGTAGCATTTGAGATGAAGCCTCTCATGCGCGTAAGAATGAGGGAAGTCAAGTCAAACACGCCTGGTTCGCTCTGAACTTGTGTGAAGGTGACTTACATAATCCTGACCATCGACATTGACGTTGCTGCCGGCAATGTATGGGCAGTAGCCGCCGATTTGTGTCTCGCCAGCATCGTTGGCACAAGCGCAAGCCTTGACCTGTCTCCCGGCTTTGGCTGCTGGGGCGGCAAGGATAGCCGGAAGGGCGAGGAGGATGGTGAGGAAGGTCTTCATTTTGAGCGATGATGTTTCAGAACAGTCTTCTCTGTATGAATTGAGAGATAATAAATAGTAAAGAAGGGTTTCTACGACGAGGCAGATTCCTATTTTATACTGTTGTGAATGATGGCTTGGCATGTTTAGACGTTGCATTCTGAGACTGATTGTAAGCATTACAAACTCATGTCCATACGGATTTGGAGCTTGATCCGAAAATGCGTTGTAGCAGTAGGTTAGAGACTACATGATACCATGGCAAGTTCCTTGCATAAGAACTTCCCCAGGTTGCACTACATCTCATATCTAGTAAGAATAGGCCGCGATGTATAAAGTCCGGAAACGGAGTTTATAGGCATTCCCCGATAAGGACAACCAAGTAGGCAGGTCATTGCGATCGACCCGTCCTTGGAACTAACCGCGCCTATCATCACTGACGGAGCACTCCTTAAATGGGTGCCGGATATAGGAGGGCGCGGGGTTATGCATATTTATCCTGGGCGGCTTGGCTCTGATACTACGCTGGGGTCGTAGCACAAATTGGCTAAAAAGAGTAGGTAGGATTCACGGATGGCCTAAAATGGATTGTTTCTTCATGCGGGGACCATGAATGGCCGATTTGTTATATATGGTCTTATAGTCATCTGTCAAGGTTCATCATATGACCTGATTGTTAAAGTAGGGAAATTGGCATTGGTGGCCATTGTGCATGACTCAGTCAAATTGTATTTATAGCATGTTGCCATAGCTACTACGCCAACTCCTTCACCTCCGCCCTTGGTTATTGCTTCGCGTGACTTTCATAAGCCTTCTCTGCCGTCCTTGTCTTCAGGAATCCAAGTTTTCTCAACGATTCACCGCTTGTAAATAACTGATCGACTTCTTCCAAGCTTCGCCCCTTGAGCTCGGGAATAAAGAAGTATGCGAGCACGACCATAGCTACACAAAAGCTTCCATAGATAAAGCCGACCTTGGCGCCAAGTGCCGCATAAGGCTTGCTGAGTAGGTAGGGAAGTGTGAAGGATGTTGCAAAAGTGGTCAAGACAGAAATGACAGAGGCGACAAGATTTGTCTTCTCTTTGATATGGCTTGATGCGGCTTCTGAAAGCACGATGTACGATACTGGTGCCCATGATAGTGCGTAGGCGGAAGAAGCAACCTATGGAATATTAGTGAGATAGGTTGTTTAACAAAGTGAAGAACTTACAAGAGCATTCTGTTGTGTCTCCGTAGGGTTCTTGATAGTACCGACAGCGCCAACAATGAACAGAAACACAGCCATGCCGGTGCCGCCGACTAAAAGTAAGACCCTTCTACCAACCAGGTCGACAGTAGACCAAGTGATGAACAGACAGGCAAGACCTGCGACAGAGCTGAGGACAGAAAAGACAAAGCTTCGCGCACCAAACCCTTGGGAGAGGTAGAAGATGACGGAGTATTGCGAGGCAAAAGTCTGACCTGTGATTTGCTGTACAAATATGGCGAGTAAGGCTACCATAGTACGGCGTCTAATCTTAGCATCAATGAGCTCGGACCATTTACTCTTATGATCATTGGAATGGGCGTGCTTGAATTCCATGTCTTTTTCGGACTTGTCCTTTCGAATTCTACGAAGGGATTTGGTAGCTTCCTCCACACGATCTTTAGCCAGGAGACTAGTATCGTTAGAGTTGCACATGAACTTGAATTGGGGGTATATGTACCACCGAGGGCTTTCAAAGACCCAAAACCATAGAGCGAGCAAGAAAGTTGGGGCGAGGAATTGCAAGGCAGGGCGTCAATATCCACCGTTAATAACGAATAAATCAAGAAAGCAGACCCAACATAGTTAGCAGTGCTCTCGATATAGTCAAGCTGCTGCTTTACTTCTTATAGTAATTTGTTATCACGGGCAAAACATACTTTAAGTTCTACTTAAAATACGTTATCAAATATATAGTCAGATACTAAAAAAAAAGATTGTAATCCTCCAGTAATTGTGCAGACTCATAATAACCACCTAGTTCTCGAACGACCAGGTTGACGTCCCATCCCTTTCAATTGTCTCCAAGCAGCCAAAAATCGGCTGAAACATTCCAAGATATCCCTTGTTAGGATGGTCATAAGACCACCCGACAGCATAAAGCATGCATGTGGGCGGAGACTTCCCATCTTCACAAATATAAGTGAACTCCTTGTAATCGACTCCATACCTTGGCAGAAAAGTATTCCCAATTGTCGTCGAGTGTCCATACCTCAAATTTCCTTGGGCATCTATAGTTGCAGGAGCATAGGTGAATTCAATATACTCGATTCGATCTCTGTCTCGGTAGTCAGTTGAGACTTTTGTTTTCACTCCAATGACGACCTCCCTGCCGAGCTCAATGGCGCAAACATATCCGCCACGGCGTGATCCTAACATAATTTCCGTATTTTCGAAAACGAGCGAAAGTCCGACTACCTCGTTGGTATTATAGTAGTCTGGAGCAATAAACCATTCAATCTTACAAAGTCTCCCCAGGCCGCCGGGAACGGCTTGTGGGTTTGTAAACTTTGTCTCTGACGTAATGCCCTTCCATTCACCTCCAGGATATTCCAGATGGTGATAGGTTTGGATGTCCTGTTCATGTCCAGGGATGAATCGTCCCCAGAGATGTGTAGGTTCAAGAATCTTGTCGATTTCTGCGCTGTATTTGGACTCAACTTCGAAGTCGAGCTGCATGCGACCGTTCTTGAATATGTCTTCCAACGCTCCCGTAACGGTAATCTCTGTATGACTATGTGGGTCCTCCATCGTGATCTGGTCGTAAGCATTCAACTGCTCTAGCTTGATATCTTTTTTTCGCCTCTCAATGCAGTTCTTCTTTGCGTCTTGGACCAAAGCTTGAAGTCGATAAACCTCTTCCTCGAGTAACTTTTTGTACGCTGGCTTTGAATCCGAGGACTTATCGATTTTCTCGCAATGCTTCCACTGAGTATAGAGTGCAGATAGGTAGAGAGTGCCAAAGGGAGCAAGGTATGGAAGGTTATACCATGGCGATTCGTTCTCGAAGATTAATGGCTCGTTTTCCATCAGAATGTTGACTACTCCGTGAAAGTTGCGAGCCTGGATCTTTGGTGGCTCCTGTGCAAAGATTTGCAGAACCTTGCAGATGCCTTTGAGCCTCAATCGGTTGTCTTTGGCGGTCTGCTCACCGATCTTTTCATCAACAAGGCGCTCTACATTGTCTTTGGTGCCCTCCCATATACTGTCATCGCCACCAGGCCAAAACAAGCCTATCAACCCTGAGAGCATGCCACCGACCACAGGCACCTCGTTGAGACCTATAGAGACAACTACCTTCAGAACCTTCGTGACATTATCAACTTCGACGTCCTCGTTGGGCATGTACTTCTCAGGGTTGTTGATTGAAGCAGCCTTCAGAACGTCGTGGGTTGTTATCACCTTGACCTCTCTAGCGAGGTCATCAGAGATCATCTTGGACTGGATATTAGAGGGATTGATAAAAGGGAGATAAAGAAGAAACGGATATGTTGAAGATTTGGCGCATTGAATAGACCGTGAATGGGGCATGTGTCCTGTATTTAAGCACCGAAAGCAATGGGTCTGCTAATAGACTTGGTCCTTTATGATTAGTCTCTGATTGAGATGTTCAAGTTCGTTCCAGACCATCGGTGGCTTGTTTGAACTATCTTGGCGTCAGCATAGGAAACAATACTTGGGTTCTGAATCGCTGAGGGCGGCATTAATTAACGCCAGCCACTCGAAGCTAAAGGTTTGCAATTATTGAAAAGGCGCATGCGCCACTGCCAATCCCAACCATAAGTGGCCTATTCCAAGTCACATGGGCCTTTAGTTGGAGAAAAAGGAATGCAGAAAACGCTTACGGGAGCGACAGACGAGACAAGAGACCACTGATTGGCGAACTATTATTCAGGTCAGCTCAGGCATTGCTTTTCGGGGCCGGCTATCGCTTCCGGAGCTTTGTGAAGCTTTCGAGGAGAGCTGGGTACGTACCTGCAGCAGACCTCGTCTGTGCCATAGCGGGTTCTCAGCGATCAGCAGCGCCAATAGCTTTCAATAATGATCAACTTTACTAACGCGATAAGCTAGAGGAGAGAAATCAAGAGAAATCATTAGAGTTCAAGACGGCAAAGTTGGGGTACTTGTCAACAATCCTCTTGTTGAGCCCGCCGCCAAAATACCCCGCGTTCCCTGGACGAAAATATCGCTAGCACTTACTAGTGGCATGCTAAGGTACAGATACAGGGAACGGCTCCGAAAGCCGGCGCTAAATACTACAGATCTCTGTATTGTGATCTACACCAACTGTAAGGATTGAATTCAACTTCTCCCAAACTTTTGTCTGGTCATCAAGGCGCCTTTGGGCCATACTGACCCAAAGGGTAATCCCAGGAATGCATTGTGAGGTAGATTGCATAGTTTCTTTTCCTTATCTGCGCAATTATGTCGTGTAACAATAGACGGTGTCAGGGGTTGGCGGATGTCATTATCGAGTACCCTTAACGGCAGCATCACAAGAACTTGGAGCCCAGAAATATACAGACAAGTGAATCCTTCAACACCTTAAGAAGTTCTTGCGTGTTTGGTGCCATATAACACAAAACATCTAGCCCAGGAGGGCAAGCCAGTGCTTATCGAGACTTTTTTCGTGTTGCTGCACTGTCAACCATGCTTGCTAAACCCATCCTCGCTGCTGCGGCATGCTCTCTTGTACCTGTCAGCGTCAGTACCAAGTCCAACATCGCTTTTCTCCTGATAGATGACCAAGAAACGCATCCTGGTCCCTTGGAATATCAGATTTTACTGCAGCGTCTACTCACGAGACTTGATCAGATTGTCATAAGGGATTCTAGGAAAACAGGAACTTAGAATAGCTGAGATATTCAATATGACCCATAGCGCAATTCTTATTCTAAGCTACCATATAGCCACCGTCAACTGGCAATGAAACAGCAGTGATCCATGCAGATTGATCAGTCGCGAGAAAAATGGCTGCTTTGGCAACATCTGCGGCTGTTCCCAATGTTCCGCAAGCATGTAGAGCAACAGTCGCATCGCCGAGTTTCTTGTCTTCCAGCATCACTCGATCCACCTCCGTTTTGACGACTAGAAGAGTCATGAAATTTTAGTTGATGAAGGCGAAAGCTTAAGGATAACCAAAGGTAGGGGTGAGTTTCTAACGTACAGCCAGGGCAGATGGCATTAACATGGATCTTAGAAGGACCATATTCGCGAGCAATGCACTTTGTCATGTGAACCACCGCTGCTTTGCTGGCACAGTATGAGACTATCAAACAAATCCGTTGGTAATCAAGGTCAGAATCCTTCACCTCCGCTTGATGCAACCCCTTCCAAGCCCCATCCATCGACCTCTTTCCTTCTAGATTATCTATTCCTCTGGGTGGCTATGGATAGTGAATTCAGCAACAAAGTCGCCCTCGTGACGGGTGCATCAGGTGGAATTGGCTTTGCCTGTCCTCGCCTCCTTGCATCGAAGGGTGCCAGCATAGCTCTTAGAGACCAAGCTGACACCACAAGTCAGGCACAAGAATTGACGCGGCTTCATGGATCTTGAACAATGCCTTTGAAACTTGACGTCACTGATACTGAGGATATAAAAGACGCGATTGAAAAGGCTATATCATGGGCAGGGCGTCTTGACTTTGCTGTGAATGCAGCGGGAATTTTACCTGCTGGGGCCCAGATCGATGCCATTGGACCTTCTACCTGGGGTCGAGGCCAACGCTACGCAGGGTCAAGGAACTGCTTCACTTTTGAGTGATATGGTTCTCGAAGCTATGAAAACAATGAAATCAATCCCCAACGAAGATCCTTTGCTAAATTGGGCTGGGTCTTTACTTCTTATTGCTGGCTCTGAGTTGCCGTCTTCACTCGCGGAGAAGAGAATATCGGTGGAGAGAACCTTTGGGAGGTTGGCAAAATGGACTCGTATCCAGACATATAACCGCGGACTTGAGCTTGTGAGGGAGGTCTGGAAATTAAGAGACTTGGGGATTGAAGTATCCTGGTTGGAGGTTATGTTGGATCAAAGAAGATCCTTGGCAATTTTATAGATTTCTGAAGCGGCTGTCGAACTCTTAGGTTATGGCGATGCAGGAATGTGCATTTTCTATTCGCGTGTTAGCTTCCAGAACGTGACTGCCTATAATACTTTGATCGTCGAGGATACCGAACAGCGACAGAATTCTAGACCTGGTGATGCAGGTCGTGCTATTTTCTTAATCAGTTAGGTCAAATTAGTTTAGGTGAGCCAGGGCGAGTCATACCCGCACAGCCGGAAATCAAAGCTAAGATAAGCACAGTCAGGATGATCCGGGCCGATGGTTCCCCGATATCAGGCATCTCGTTCAGCATTTGGGTAAACGAGCATTGTGCGTTTTTAGCGTCCCAGTCTGCGGGGTCAAGACTAGGGTAGGCCCACGACAGGCGGCGTGCCGAACCTCGAGACTAATTGGAGCTCTGATCAGGTATATAGACTGGTATTTATAAAATCTTAATGGAGTCAAGTAAATGCTGTAGAGTGGAACTGAGAGATACTCAGCGAAGTTTAGAAATCCATAGCGGAGTGAACGCCGTGGTTGTTATCATGATTTTACTACTTCGTAGATCACCCTTGACTACCCGTCCATGAGTGGAAAAACCTTCCTATTCGGGGTTAAACCCGAATCCAATAATTACGCCAATTCATACTCCGTAGCTTTTCTCGCTTTGCTACTTGCTGTTCACCTGCCTGACAAGATATGATAATTGTAGACTCACAGCTTCTGGTAGCTCGACAATAGAGAAGTGAGATTCTCCGGTGAGCCTGGCGAAGCTGAACCAATCGGGGTGTCTCCGCGCAAATTCTTCATGCTCTGCAAGATAAGCCTCCTCCCTCGGATGGCTAAAGACATGCCGCACTAAGGGAGGGTCTTCAATGATCCCAAGCCGCTCCATCGGTGAGCCCCAGCGCTGATAATTCTTTTCCACCAGCCAGCAGAAATACGACCAGTTCTCAAAACCGTTGGTGTCTAGATCATTTTCACAATGATCGAGGACGTTCTTGTTGGAGGTGTTGTTGAGCCATTTCTTGATGAGGGGCGCCTGACCCTGGTGCCAAGTCTCCTTGTTTTGTATCAACTGTAGGTGCTTGATGAATTCCGCAGGAGGCCGAGTGAGGTTAAAATCGGTCAGCAGCACAGCCGGGACTCTTTGCTTTCCTAGACGCACAGCCATCTCCATAGCGCACCAGCCTCCTTGGAAATGAGAGATGGGTATGAATGTCTGGACCTGCAGGGAGTCCAGGAGTGCGATCGTATCGTTTGCTTGGTCCTCCACGCTCCATTTGTCCGTAGATTCGCTGTTGGCACCGCGATCCCTCCATGAAATTCTGATGACGCGGTACTTGCCCACCAAGAAGGGGAGAATGTATTGGTAGCCACGGTAGTCCTGACCCAAGCCTGGCAAACAGACTATTGTTGGGTCAGATGTGACCATGCCCCGGTCCTCGAAGGATAGTTCCACGCCATTTATGGTTCGTGTGTGAAGCATTGAATCTTGAATAGTAGGAGGAAGATGGTGAGATGTGAAAGTTTTGGTGTTTGGATCGTTTCTATTCTTTGAGCTGACGTACGACATAGCCAATAGGGCGTGCGTTGAAAGCTCCAGTTAATGTTTCGGTTAATGAAACTCTAAGCTGCTGCCATACTAGCAGTGAGCACTATCCTACCAACTGCCCCTGCTTGCTGCACTTCGCTCAAAATCTCCCTTTGCATCGCAGTTCCGGCTAAGGTCTCGGCCGTTGCGGGTAAATTCCGACAAATGTGGGCTCTTCCCGCGGGAACGGTAAGGGCTTTGACATCCCCTGAAGATAATTGGTCGAGGTTCCACGTTTCGTTGAGTTTTGACGGTATGTAATGGCTTTGTCATTCTCCACTATTGTGTCAGCTAAAGTACCTTAGTCGGAATCAAACAACATCCGTAAGACGGCCTTTTAGGCGAGACATGGGCATTGACTTCAGCCTCATATACCTGGTAGAAGGAACCTCCACGCATACTCACCTGTTGGCCTCGCTGAGAGGGAACTCGTGGTCGTCAGCATCATGTGTCAACTGGGCGTATTTGGATATGTGCGTATTTCAGAAATAGCACCTCCCAAACTGCGTGGAATAGGGCCGATAAAGGTCTGGAAGGGTTGGCAGATAAGACGAGAGATAGATGGGCCTCGTTTACTAAAGGAGAGAAGAATGTACTCTGTGATTTCGATATTAGTATAACTGAGAGAGTTGGTTATGTTTTATTCCGGGGCAACAATCTGTAAAGTACCATTTTCCTGGCCTTACCAAACATTTTAATCGCATAGATAAGACCCTTGAAGCCACAATAAGCTAAGCGTTATTCAAGCGCTAGAGGCTCTAAAAGTCAATCCCCTGCCCAGCCTCATACAATGACAAAATGTCGTCTGCCTTTCTATGCGTCGCAAGATCTAGCGCAGTTCGACCTTGCATGTCTTCTGCCATAGGATCCAATCCTTTACGCACCAGAACCTGGAACCTAGCCACCCTTCTGAATGATTGTTCTTGACCAGCAACAACATGAAGCAGAGACCGACCTTTGGCATCAACAACCGACCAATCCACTCCCATCTCATCAAAAAGCGCCCAAATCTTCGGCTCCACCTCCTCCACGATCTGCTTTTCAAGTTCTTTATTGACCTTCCATCTGTCACCACCCCATTTCTGAGACAGGGTATGCCTCTCTTCATCTAACTTCGCCCAGCTGAGATCAACCTTGAACCTGTTCGTACGGAAGTAGCCGAATGCAGGCGTTTCCCCGGATTTGTTCCGCGCGTTGATATCTGCTCCTTGGGAGAGCAGTGAGTCTATTGTATTCTTGACGAAGCCCTGCCAGACCGCATCGCCGTAGTAGTCTGCAACGAGAAGGAACGGCCTGTTGAAGAGTATGTGAAGCGGTGTATCACCATTGGCATCTTGGACGGTAACATCGACTCCCGCAGAGATTAAAAGTTTGACCTCGTCTCTCGGGTTTCCTGGTTTTTGGCAATCTATCGCATAGTGAAGTGGTGTCCTGCCGTTCACGTCGTACTGATACTGAAGGTATGGTGCTATAGCAATGATATACTGTACGAGGTCGATTCCAAAATCGTCAGCAGATATCAGATGAAGGATATTTCTACCGCAATCGTCCCTGCAACGAAGATCGGCGCCTCTGCCGATCAGTATTCTTGCAGCTTCTGCATCCCCCAATTCCAATGCAGTGTGAATCAATGCGATGCCCTCCCCATCTTGAAGATTGACATCGAGTAGTGGGTGCCGAAGAATCAAGTCGAGATACACATTCCGCTTTCTGTACAACGTGCTGGGGTTTGAACCTCTCCTTTCCAAAACTCGATGGGCGATTGTGGTTTGAGGGTAGCGAGAATTCGGATCGGCGCCGTGACTGAGAAGTAGCTCGACGATACGACTGCAATCTGGGCGACTCGTCATTGCAAGATCAAGAGGATACAGCTCATGGCACGAATTGGGATCTTGTCTCTCTGGCATCACATGCCCTCCATTTACTGAGCTCCGAATTGATGTTTGTTTTCCGACTCTCCGAGCGTTTGGATCGGCACCTAAAGATAGCATCAACTCTACCGTGTCGACATCTCTGGCCAGGATTGCATTGGTGAGACACGATTGATGAACAACAACAACGTCGTCTATCAGGTTGTCTAACCCGGCCAAGAACATTATTCGGCGTTTATTGATAGTATATAAATTATTGGAAAGTCAGTTGAGGAACCGCGGTGTATTTTAAGCTTGCTACGCTTGGGCTAGTCCTATTTGCACCTACCAAATTGGGTTATGGCCAATCCGACTACAGTGGTCGGACCATCTCACCAGGCAGAAGCTCAGCAGAGAGATTATTTGCATGTGAATATTTATAAAACTTATTGTATCATTTGAACCCTATATAATCACTATATTCAACTAAGTAGCTGGCTGCACTATAATCTCCTGATTCCTGGCGTTTAGGCAATCCTAATATGCATTTCTTTAAGCCCTATTGATATGGTCAAATGTCCAAGAACTCTAAAACCTCATCACAGCACTCCGCTCCGGACTGATATCCTTCGTGTAGATAATGTGCTTTGCCAGTTTCTTGTTGCTTGGATGATCCAGGAAGTGTCGGTTGTAGCTCAACTCATGGCCTCTCCGTTCCTCCATGATCCTCAGCGCCTCCTCCACGTCCTCACACGGAAGAATAAGGAAGACCCCTCTATAAGGGGACATAAGCTCCTGGACACGATCGAGTTCCTCCTTGTCCTCAAAGATGGAATGGCCCGCCCCAAAGTCGAGTATCTTGCCGTAAAACCTATCCCCGGGCTTCAGAGCATTTTGCAAGATGTCCACGACAGCTCTGTATTCAAAGTACTTCCAGTACTTCAACAAACCCTCCACGCCCTCTTGTTCGTATAGTTTGTTTGCACGTGCATCATCGTAATCAAAGGGTGCATAGAGCTCTTTGCGATGTCGATCGAGGCTGAATAGTTCTTTGTTGAGGTACTGTGAAAGGACTTTTCCAATGGTTGTTTTTCCAGCGCCTTCAGGGCCATCAGAATAATTGTTGGGCAAGGTTCGTCCGTCATGGCTTCTTTTCAATTCGCTGTCGAAGGATAAGTAATGTAATAATCTGGAGAATTAATAATCAATAACCGCCTTTTTGCTTTTATAGAGAAAAACCTAGCGTCCATCGTCAAGGATCACGGGTGAGACGGCTATAGCAAATGACTCACACTGATCCCACTGGTGTGTATGATAAGATGCCGATATCCGACGCCGCACATCTCACAAGAATGACCATTAAAACAATTTGAGAACTGCCAAAATGTCTAAACACCTTATCCAAAGAGCTCTTCAGTAATAAAATATTCACATGTTCCACTTTCGCTTCGATGTTCCGTTGCCTGATCGTTTCATTGCTTCGAGCCTCACTCCAGCGACTGCGATCGCAGCCGAAGTCATCAGTGCTGCAGCCCACGCTGACATGGCGGTGTAGTCCCTAGAGCTTCTAGACAATCCTTCACGTCGGACGAGTGCACCCGCAACAGGTGTACCTACAAGAGTGGCCAATCCTTGCAACATATACATGACACCTGCAATTCGTGGCAGCTCTTGAACACCAAATAACTCGATAAGTGCTGCCGGAAATAAACTGATAAAGGCGCTGGCTAGGAGTCCGTATAAGACAGTGAAACTGACAAAAAGACCACGGGAGGCTGTTTCGTTGCTGTCACCGATTAGTGTGCTTGGAATCCAGAGTCCCACGCAAACAAAGGCTGTGAGTAATGTGGTCAAAAAGAACGAATTGAGCCTGCCCAACTTATCTGCGATGAAACCAACAGCAATCTTGCCAATGGCGTTGCAAGCGTTGCTGGCCGCAGTTAGATTTGCGCCTTCTTCTTCAGTATATCCCAGTGTCTTGGCATAGGTGACAGTAAAGAATACCGGGATGTAATAAGCAGCACTCTGAAATAGCGTGCTGGCAGCCTGGGCGAAAAACACCCTTTGTCGGATCGTCTGCTAGCTAGGAACGGGAATTTTGAATAGGGCAGTGAAGGGAGAAAGAGCCGAGTTTTGTGCTGAGAGATGTTTCGCCATTGACGTTTCCCAGTCGAGAATAAATCCCGAGATGCAGATGAGCACTGTAGCCAAACATCCGGTCAACCGTAACGTGTTTCGGAAACCCAAGCTACCAATGCAGGCCAAAATTGCAGGCGTCCACACTAAACCGCCTATGCCTGTGCCAGCAGATACAATGCCCATGGCGAGGCCTCTCTGTTTGCCGAACCAAGTAGGGGCAACTGTCATGGAAGGTACAAAGGAAAATCCGGTGGCGAACCCTAGCAATAGTCCCTGCGCAAGCTGGAAGTGCCAGAGAGCTCTACCGAAGCTTGCGAGAACTGAGGCTACGCTGAATAGTATTCCACCGAGGCATACTACAGGTCGAGGACCATAGTACTTTGTCCATGTCATGACAAATGGAGCTACGATGGTCATCAGTGCGGCTAATAGGGTTCCGATGAGGTCAATGGTAGCAGCTGAGGCGCCAGTAAAGGGAGTTCCTGCCGTAGGAATTATGGCCTTGTAATGTTCTTGATACACGGCGAAACTGAAAAGGAGGCCGCTTGCGGTGAAGCTGATTATGAACGAGGCAAAGACAATTGATGCATATCTCCTGCTATTCATCAGCAATAAGAGTGGCTGCGGAAATAAGTAGCTTACCATTTCGAGTATTGCAGTTGATTACTTGGACGTTCCGCTGCTGAATTCGTAGTAACCATTTTGAAAACGTTATCCGCATCAAATAAGGTAAATATTTACGATAGTTATTTTATTTTGAAAATTGGGGGGAGTGGTACTTATACTGAGTAGATAGCCTAGCTGCAGCAGCTCAACCTACGGCACGAGCAAGCCCTTCAGTATGAAAGCAATTAGATAACACCAGGACGATGGCAATTTTTTGCGATCATGGCCTGCTTTTCTGTTAGGCTTTAGCCAGTCCAGACTTTGATCTAGCCGAATTAGTCGGGTCCGGCTGGTGTAACTCAGGTAACAAGCCAAAGGAGCCACGAGGACAAGAAATGCTTGGCACGGTTCCCGGTCCGAGAAGGCGCATGTTTTCGGTATGTATAATAGAGGGCGTATGAATGGATCAATAGTCGAGTCCATGGCGATGTTACGGGAGCTTTCTGGGATGTGCTGATGATCGGCGGGCTGTAATTCTTTAAACTTCCGCAGATACATACAGAAGACTCGCTTACTGACAACAGCGGGTAAACCAACCTATGGCGTTCACCAATTTAATATTCAGCTGAAACAATGACTCATACGGGACCGATTGTTACAGTGGTAAATACTATAATAAAGGGAGTGCCCAACTCAATGGTATATATTTCTAAGCATATACATCGATGGACAATTAGATTGCAATGAAGGGTTCAAGATCCACTTTCCCTTCCAAAAATATACGCATAAACTCCAAATCACAGTTATAATAAAGCTGATCTTTGTTGTATTCTTTCACAAGACGTAGGCAGGTAAATCAGATTCTGTCCTCGTATATACCGGCAACGTTTCGCCCAGGTTCTCGAAAGTATTATCCAATGTATCATCCTGACGCTCTGTGAGGATGACTGGTCGCCGAATTCTTATCTTCCGAGAACTGTTGGATGCTGCAGTATTATCAGCCTTATCAGATGGCATCGTTACTGCGGACAGCGGAACCTCCAGGACAAAGTCGTGAGAAATCTTCAGGACGCTGTTCGATGCCTCTTCGCACACGCAAGACTTGTTGCGCTTTGCAATCATCGTTGCAATTGGGCCATACTCGAAACTTAGTGTCGAAGTCGTCTCTTGATCACTCCAAGACGGCCTCCATTCGTTACGAGGTCGTCCCTTTGCTATAATATGAGAGACGCTCTGCCTACGAATGGTGGGCTCGCTGTCTTGCTCCGTGTGTCGGGCACAAATACCCAGTGGGGCATCGACGTGCTCTTCAACCCTCCACTCTACTCCGATGGCTTCCCATGCGTAGATCTCACCTTGCCCATGCCTAGGTTTAGAGAGAGAGAAATCTACATTGACTTTCTTATCCAGCCTGATAATTTGCTCTGACGACAAGCGCGCGTTCAATGGGGTTTCCGAGATTCTCATAGAACTCTCACGAAGAATTTGAGGTCTGTACAGTGAACGCTTCACTTCGATATTCTGGTTCCAAATAATTGGCTCTCCCGTGGCGAGAATGAGTTCTGCGGATAATTCGTACGTGAGGTCTAAAAGAGGTGTCGTAACCGAGGGAGGCGTGTCGTTGTCAAGCCGCGTGGTGAACATGAAGGGGTACCTTCCGTTGGCAGGCATAATTCTTCTATCAATGAGAGTCCACCTTTGGAGCTGAACATAATGGTGAGCACAGTCAGGGCAGTTGGGACGAAGAGGTTTCTTGTAGTGGTGATGGAGCCGTAACGTCACGGAGAAGCTCTTGACGTCTAAATCCTTTGTCGTGTCGAGTATGGCCTCCCCTATAAGTGCTGTACCGGTGGAAAGCGCGCTGCTTTCGAGAATCAAGGGCATCGGCGTCTGGAGCTTCCATTGTACGCTAACATTTGTTCGGTTGGGGCCCAGCTTGCGTAGGCCTTTCGACGGCAGCAGCTTTGAGACATACTCGAGTGAGACCATTCTGAAGTCCACTTTCTGTAGTTGGGCTCTGTGCAACCGATGAACGGCAGGTCTTGCGAAATAGGTATTTGAATAAGCGACTGTAACTTTTGGGGCCTGATGGAATTATATAGTAAGTATCGAGCGCAGCATGTATATTAAGCTTTGGATCGACCTACCCTGCACAGAAGATGACAGTTCTGGTCCCAGATCTCTGATTTCTGGCAGTTCGGCTTCGTAGGAGCAAAGTCAGAATGCAAGAGTCACCATTCAACCTGCAAGTGGTGTTGGCCAGAAGACCTATGACGTAGGTAGTCTTTGGTTATTTTTGAAAGCCCCTGCTATCTTTGACCGCACTCCGCTTTCTGTAGGTAACATTCTGCGATCGATAACAGCAACACAGTCGCCTCTTGCGATGCGAGACGATTTCCGAAGAGATCGTGAAAAGAACGCGCGGCCCGCGGACTTGAAAACGAGTTCCTTGGTAGTTGGAGATCATGCTGAGGGGCTGAACGGTCGTAAGCAGCGAGCTACCTAGCGCCATCTCCCCCGTGATTGTCAATCAGTGCCCACTCTAGCCATTCTAGCCTAGACAGGTAAGTGAATTCCAGTCTAGCCTCAGAGCTAGCGGTTATAGTGGGTCAGACCAGAACAAGTCTCGCAAGAAATTGCCAACATTTTGAGTTGCTTCCCCATAAACTTGAGAATGATTCGTATAAACTATCATCAGCAAATTGGATCATTCGTTTTCTTACGTTTTATCAATCCATTGTTATAACAGATTACTTATACTCTGTTGTTTTCATCGGGACTAAGACGAAATAAAATACCTCAAAGGCCTGGAATGTTTGTTTACTGTAAAGAATTGACTTATTTAAAGCCTTTAGCCCCTGCGTTATAATAGATCATATCACAACGTGCAGGGCTCTGTCTAATCTCTGTCGCCTGCCAAAAACTGGTTTTTTTTTCATCAATATTATTGTATATCACTGCGAAACTCTCGGTCAACTCGACTGCGCCCGACCTGTACTCATGCCTCCCCTACCTCCTGCCGCCTCGATACTCGACGTATTGGGGAATACACCCGTGGTAAAACTTCAGCATGTCGTCCCGGAGGATTGCGCAGATGTGTATGTGAAGCTTGAGTATTTCAGTGCCACAGGCTCTTACAAAGATCGTATGGCGAAATCGATGATCGAGGAAGCTGAACGCTCTGGACGATTGGCGCCTCACATGACGGTTGTTGAGGCTACAGGCGGCAGTACAGGCTCATCGTTGGCATTTCTTTGTGCCGTGAAAGGCTATCCGTTTGTGGCACTCTCTTCTAATGCCTATGCCAACGAGAAGTTGCTTACCATGGCGGCGTTTGGAGCCAAGGTTGATATAACTCACAGCCCAACCGGCAAAGCCACTGCGGATCTGATGATGGCTATGAAAAGCAAAGCTGCGAATCTCAGGAAAGGAGATGACTGTTTCTACACGGACCAGTTCAGCAATGGTGACGCACTTGTCGGTTATAGAGAGATTGGCCATGAGCTGATCGCACAATTTCCGGATGGATTTGATGGATTCTGCGGATCATTTGGCACAGGTGGTATGGTTATGGGCGTTTCCAGTGTCCTTAAACCGGTCATGCCGGATATTCGAGTCGTTCTCGTGGAGCCTGAGGGCTCGGCCCTGCTGGCAAAAGGACAGAAAGGCGCCCACGGCGTAGATGGTATCTCACCAGGCTTCATCTCTCAACACGTTGATAAAGCATTATACGATGGTACGCAAACCATAAATGAAGAAGAAGGGCGAGATATGTGCAGAAGACTTGCGAAATGCGAAGGACGTTTCGTTGGGACGTCATCTGGCTTAAATATTGCGGCTGCGGTTCACCTCGCTAAGCAACTTGGCACTGGAAAAAAGGTTGTTACAGTTGCTTGCGACACAGGGCTGAAATATCTCACTGGATCACTATTCTCAGAATGATAGATGTATATAGGTCTATAAGCAGTTCTAGACCTATCTAAAGATCAAAGCAAAGAAATGCAGATTTAGTAGTCTGATGGACACCTTTAACATGAAAGCTTCCTACACATTCTAAAGTATTTAAGTAGTACTCAGATTGAAAAGCCGATAGACTGTCAAAAACTATCTTGCTCTCTTAGAAATATCATGCAAACCAAGGAACTGACAGATCTAAGTTCGGACAAGACCACCAACCAACCTGTTCATCCCCAGCTCGAAGGTCCTGTTGCTTCCAAATAGTCTCAACGATGGTACGTGTCACATGCATATTTCCAATCTTTCGTACCGCATCCATCTTATAAAGAACCTCAAGGATTTGTAACCGCTGCTCTTCCAAAGTCACTTCGCAAGCTACAATAAAACAGGGCCAGGGGCTCGATGCCACCGTGAGTCCTGACATGATTGAAAGTGCCTGCTGCACGTATGCTTCTCTACGATCTTCATCTCCATCTGTCGGCACTACACGTTGCAAGTAAAGTAGAGCGGCCAACCGATACAGTTCCGCCTTGGCCAGAGCTTCCGTACTGTTTTGGTGAACTAAGCAAGTCGATTCATCGCGACTGAGGTGCTGCTCAGCAGATAGAAGTTGTGCTTCTAATGAAGACCGATGTTCAATCGTATCAGTAGGTACTGGTACGTCGGTTTGTGGCAAGATATTCGGGCGAAGGATATCAATATGGCGGATAGCATTGAAGACGTCAGGCGAGCAGCCCAGAAGCCCTAGAATCTGTTTCAAGACTTAGCAAGAGACAACACCTGAGCGAAGTAATGCTACAAACAATTGATGAGTCATTCCGCGAAATGATTCGATCAAATGAGATATCATCATATACATCCTGGGCCTGTCGTAGCGGGCGGACAAAACCGCTGAGTACGTCATAGTACATGAGCCATACAGTGAGAAAATCTGTAATCTTGTCTTGCCTGTAGTCTAGTCTTAGATTCTTGAAGACACGTCTGGCTCCTTCCAAGTGAATATAAAAGTTGCCCTCGTCAGCGTCAAAAACCTGATGATGTTTTGTAAGCTGCGTCCAAGGCACCTCATATAGTTAAGATTAAGGTACATACACTATGCATGCACAGCATCATGACTGCGGCTAATTGCGATGGCGTACTTTCTTGAGAATGGCTATTTGTGTGGATGAGTGAGCGGGTGAGTGCTTGTACTGCTTTTGCCTTGAAGGGATCCGCGGCGCCGGGGCCCCAGCGATGATGCCCTGAAATTGCAAGCATGGAGTAGAAAAGTGCGTCGGTAGAAGCATCGTTCATGGAGAGGGCGACCGCTGGTAGTCCCTGCCATAGCCCATTGTCGGATTGAGTAGTCGAGCACATTGGGGCTATGACGCGAATGTCTAAAGCCTCCGTCAGCTCAATATACTTGAAGTGGGTTACCGAGAAGTCTAGTACAGACAGTAACTAAAGACAGCGCTCTCCTGGTCAGTAGAACGCCGGTGTGAGATGGGGGTGCACCTTGGCGCCGCTAGGGCTCCCATCAGTGCCTCATGCCAATTGAGGCGACCTGCTGCGAGATCCATGTCTCTCGAGTCGTATTTCAAAAATCTCATTTCGTGTCCCTGTCGCCCCTGAGACGAGCTCGCAGAGAAGGGCAGCATTTGAGAGCGAATATGCCGAGGCTCCACGGTAGACTCAGGCCGCCATACCAGGCGAGGCCCGTAGCCCTGGCAGGCTCGGCCAGTTCGAAGACAATTTTTGCAGCAAGGGAGACTTCTATCGCAACCAATCTTGCGACCTGGCACTTATATTAGTCTGGTTGTATACACGCCTGAGTTGTTTCGCCCACTTTTACACGTCCAGCAGCCTCTCTGCGCTTTGGGCTGTTGCATCATCATCTTTGTGTAGCACGATGGAGTTCGGTCGGCAGTCATCCATCATCTCTCGTTTTTTTGTCCATCCAAGCGATTTATTCAATAATGTATAAAGACATGCAATTTGTAATGTTGGACGAAAGTTAGGCTTGAAGGAAATTACCGGTTGAAGATACCGAGACGCGTTAATAAGGTTATGCACATAGGAAGTAGGTATGGTAAGCAGGTAGGTTACTCTATGGTTATAAGCATAAATCTAGGCAAAGAGCTACGGGGAACTCCGAGTCTTCAGAGTAAGCTACTCCGAGGCACATGAGGCATATTCATCCAGCACTTCCGTATACTCTAGCCTACCAGCCATCAAGTTTAACGCCTTCTGTTTTCACATTCGAAAAAGTAACATAGAAGAACTAGCATATAACAAGGCCAGTGCATATCAAATATGCATCAAGATGTTCACTTGACCTTGAATATTGAAGACTGTATCCATAAAGGTCTATTCTTAATACTTGGGTCGCCAGCATGCTTTTGACCCACTTCTGGTATTTCTGCCCACTTTACAAAAGCGATAAGATCGCATTTAATTTCCAAAGCCTCTTCTAGCGCGAGCTGCCATAGTCTGGATACCTACTTTGCCAGTGAAAATAAATATAAATAAAAGCACAGGAGCCTGTCTGCAGATAAATTTGCACTTTAAAATGCATCAGGGCTTTTTTTCCGCAGCTTTTACCCGGTTAATCTGGTCTTTCTACAAAATTGAGACTCTTTATTCACTATTTTCCCGTTCTGCTTAGCCGTGTCACATCTAATACGAAAACCAACTGCCCTTTCCCAATATACTAGGAGCTATGTCTGGCGAAGAAGAGGGACAAGGTACTAGCCAAAGACATCACAAGCCATCAAAATGGTAGGTACTTTATTGTGACATCAACTCGTGTAGTAGAGCACTTACCATTCGCAGGCGCCAATGCTCGATAGTTATAGCCGCGTTCATGTTGAACTTTTCAGGATGCGGTCTTCTGTTTTGCTTCGGTATTTTTCAATCTCTATACCAAGACATGTCGCGACGACCCGGAAACCCTTTCAGTGGGGCCTCATCTGCTGAGATCGCACTGATAGGGAGTATTGCCGCATCTCTTATGAAACTTGGGGCGCCGTACGTTGTTTCGTGGACCAAGTATTTTCGACCGTCGGTCGTTGTTTGCAGCGGGGGCCTACTGTACGGTATAGCCAGCGTACTTGCAAGTTTGGGAACTAGCTTGTGGCATATGCAATTGACCCAGGGGCTTTTGATCGGGATTGCAACATGTCTGTCCTTTATGCCATCCATGGTTGTTCCACCGAGCTGGTTTGGTCGTCACAGAGCATTGTGCATGGGAATAATCTCCTCTGGGACCGGCGTTGGAGGCCTTGTATGGTCTCCAGTCCTGACAGCTTGCATTGGCGAGTTGGGCTATCAAAATACTCTACGGCTTACAGGCTGTATATGTACAGTTCTCATTTGTATATCAGGCTGCCTTTTATCCTGGGAGCCACAGATGGCTGCTTCATTACAGGCTGTCGATACACGGCCTGGTTGGGCTTCTGGACTTTTCAAAGTTCCCCTGCCCCTACGACATCTTATATCGACCCGCAAATTCCTCGCCCAGAGTATCAACGCCTTCTTCCAAAGTGCGGCGTACTATACTCCGATATTTTACATCGCAGCCTTCTCCAAAACGCTTGGCTACAACGAGACAGACGGAGCCAACTTTACAGCTCTTAGCAATGCGTGTAATGCTATTGGAAAGGTCGGGGTCGGATTCATTGCCGACAGAATCGGGCGTCTAGACAAATTCTTTCTGACGACGCTTCTTAGTTGTACGTCTACCGCTGGCCTCTGGGTTTCTAGTACTGTTCTGGGGCCGTCAGATGTAGAGGCCGGCAGGGCACTCTTCATCGCCTTTACTGTCATGTATAGTTTATTCGCCAGTGCGCACATTGGGCTTTTCTCGCCCGCGTTAGTAGAGCTGTTTGGTATCTCCAAAATGCCTCATATCACTGGCATTATGTACATGTTCCAGGGCGCAGCTGGGCTGATGGGAACGCCACTGGCGGGTCTCCTGGTGACGGAAGACACGGACCCAGGTTCCTATTTATACATGGCCGTTCTTGTGGGATCGTTCATGTTCATCTCGACAATAGCTGTGCAATGGGCAAGGATAGAATTGATGGTTGAGCGCGCAGGTGGAAAATGGCAATGGACATGGGGTCTATGAGACATTTTAATGTGCTGGGCGTGTGCAAGATGATGATAATTTAGGCGGACCCCCCATGCGCATCGCATAGTCGTTCCGAGTCGTCTGAAAATTCATTGATATGTTGACAAGATGCCGGTACCCGAGTGAGGCTATCTTATAATATTTGCGAGTTCAGCGATCCGAAAGCTCCTAAACTCAAGTTTCTCAAAAGCCTTTAGTCTACTCAAGTTCTTCGAATTGTTGCACCGTACCGCGTCATGCGCGGGCAGAGAATCTTGACTTGGGCATGATGCAGGATAAGCTTCGGAGCAGCACAGTAGTAACTGCTCTGTAGGAGATAGATAGAGCAAATAAGCGGGCTTCAGAAGTAGAACCGCCGATACGCGAAGATAAGCTCCACATCGGCTCTCCATCCCGTAGCGTGTAGTGTAGACAAGGGAAGCCGGTCCAACGCTTTGCCTGAAATCCCGATCTCGCATTGAACTGTTTGCATCCTCATGCTTCAAAAAGACTGTTGAGTTGAATTTAAAGATCTCTCTATAAGACTTGAACAAATCCAAACATGTCGTCGAAACCATTCCCCCCTCCTAACGGGATGACCTCCTTCTGGCGCTCTTCTCCTGGATCCCTTGACAATCACCGATCAACGGCAGGATTACCCTCAAAATGCGACATCCTTATCATCGGAGCCGGGTTTTCTGGCGCTTCGCTCGTGACACATATGCTATCGCAGCCTGAGTCAAAGGACAAGTCAATCGTTGTCTTGGAAGCCCGGCAACTATGCTCTGGCGCGACAGGGCGAAACGGTTCGTTTCGGTCCTTTCTGACACCAATTCCCAGTGCTAATTCTATCCAGGAGGGCATATTAAGCCTGATGTCTACAACTTGTGCTCACACATGGCTTTAAAGCACGGTATAGACGCTGGAGCAGAGATTGCCGAGTTCGAGCTCGCCAACTTCGAAGCGGTTAAAAGTTATGTCCTTGACAACAATGTAGACTGCGATTTTATGATCACTCAGGCTGTCGATGTACAGCTATCAGAAGAGCACAACGCCTTGCTCAAAGGTGGATATGGTAAGCTCGTCAACGCCGGCGTAAGCGCCACAAAGCAAGCATTTTATGTCGATGACAAGTATGCTGAAACAGTGAGCATCCTTTCTTCCCTGCTTCACATATCAAATCTAACATGAGAGCCAGGTCTCGGGTTTGAAGGGCGCAAAGGGAGCCTTCAAGTACACCACCGGGCATCTCTGGCCCTCCAAGCTGGTCCATTATATGTTCGCCGAAGCTCTGAAGCACCAGAACCTGAACCTGCAAACCAACACTCCCGTGACAGCTATTCCTGCTTCTCCAGACGCGGACGGGAGCTGGAGCGTCACTACTAGTCGGGGTGTCATCAAGGCTCGAAAGGTCATTGTGGCGACGAATGCCTATACCGCAGCGCTTCTTCCAGAGTATCACGAAAGGATCATCCCCTACCGCGCCATCTGCAGCCGCATCGTTGCTCCCAACCCGCCGCTTTTGGCAGACTCTTATGTCATTCGATTTAGTCCTGCGGACTTTGACTATCTTATCCCCCGACCGGACGGCAGCATCATTGTTGGGGGCGCCAGATCGGCTTATTTTCGACATACTGAGGATTGGTACGGTAGTGTCGACGACTCAAAGGTCATTGAAAGAGCGAAAGATTACTTCGAAGGGTACATGCAGCGACACTTTCGTGGCTGGGAAAACAGCGGTGCACATACAGATCAAATCTGGACTGGAAGTTAGTGTCATTGTTCATCTTACTGGCTTTTTATCGCATGCTAACCATATTCTATGTGCAGTCATGGGCTACTCGGCAGACGAAGTTCCCCGCATCGGCCATGTACCAGGACGGAAAAACATGTTTATAATGGGCGGTTTTACTGGTCACGGAATGCCGCAGGTCTTTCTAGCTGCCAAAGGAATTAGCCGCATGGTCTTGGAGAATATGTCGTTCTCCGAGGCCGGAATCCCGAAGCTCTTTGAAGAGACGGAAGCGAGGCTAAAGAGTGATGAGAACTTCTTGAAGGACATGATTGATGCACAGCCAAGCTTGGCTAAGATGTAGTTGATGGAAGCCTGCCCTCGAGTGCAAAAAGTCTTCTGACGCTATATCAAGTACTAAAAATACTGAGTGTAAGATCCTCTAAATCTATACTAAATTAAACCAAACTTTTGTCACCTAGGTCGAGGTTCCATGTTTTACTACATCCCTTTGAGTGTATACGTACTGACAGTAAGGTAATAACCAGAGTCTTTTCGACTACTGCAACTTTGTTATCTACAGAATAAGTGCAGACACCAAGATAGGCCGTCTCAATTTCGTATCTGTTGTTTCTATTCGCCTACCCATTTGGGCTTAGCCGCACCAGTGCTTGTGGTTTTCCTCTGCACCATGGAATACAATGTTGCTCATCAATTAGCCCCACAACGAACTTCACGGCTATCTAGTTCAGGCCGTAAGGCATCTTCAGATGGTGCAGGGGCAGGCGCACAATCTGTAGTCTGCCCCATCTCAGATCTTGTACCTTGACTGGGCGCAGTGATCACGTTGCTCGCTCTCTTCTTCCGTCGCCGGAGTAACAATATAGTTGTAGCTACAAGAATCGCCAACCCTACAACTGGGAGAATCACCGCGAGAATAATCGTAGCCTCTTTTGAAGGGCCAGAGCTTGAGTCGCTCTCGTCCTTGGTCGAGGCCGTTGCTGCTGCTGTTTGCTCGACTTGCAGCGGTCCGATGATGTATGTCGTCGGCGTCTCCCCGCAGCCCCAAGACGTAAGTTTAGCGTTGTCGTCAGAAGCGGTTTGGTAAATGAAGTAGAGACACCGCGAAGAGGCCCTGTAGGTGCTAAGAGTAGCGTGTCAATCTTCATTATCAACACTCAACAGCAAGTCCTACCATTTCATTATCGGAGAGTAAGGGCAGAGTGACGCAGCAGTGCCTCCACAATCTGGAACCGAAGCATCCTCGCATGTAGCGGGGATGTAGCAGCTTGTCTCGTCGCAACAGCCCCATGATTTGCCGCCGGTGGGAGTGCTGCAGGTGGACGGTGACGCGCAGCCTGCCTTGTAGTCTTTCCAGTCGTGAATAGCAGCAGTTAGCAGGTCTGACTCGGTGTCGTAGCCATACTCGCACGCTTACCCGTATTATGAGAAAAGTAGCCGCAGATCTGCGCATTTGTAGTTGCCTCAACCGCCTCCACTTGGACAGTGTCAGGTTCTCGTATGTGAGTCGGGCTAATTCCCCGCGATCGGACGTCGTCCATCCTGACAGATATCAAGATGTGAAGTTGATCTTTATGAATTGCGCTTTATGGTGCTATTTCCAACTTTTTGTCCTCAGTGTAGATGGTGAAGACGGAATGACATCAGCCTCCGATATTTGACGGCGGTCGCTTTGGACGTATACTCATATGTCAACGATAAAAGCTTAAGATCACCTAGACTAGCCGCTAGAGGATAGTTCAGATTTAAACTATAAATTGTCTTTGTTTATTTCATTATGCAATAACGTTTCTAACGTGCTCCTCTATATTCTTTGGCACTGTGAGACCATACTCGTCCTTAGCGTACCCAAAGCAGAACTCCACAAGGCCAATACATGCATGTTGAGAGCCCATATAGGACCGCCCCTTGTACTCTAATGCTTCCAGCTCATAGAAGTAAGCCTCATTAACTTCAAAGAACTGATGCACCACAGCTTCCGTAGGCTTCTGACCGTTCTTAAAGAATGCTGCAGCAACGCATAGCTTGAGCACTGCCGCGCCGCCCTTTGTTTGCACGAGCTTACTGTCCTTCTTTGCTACAAGCTCTGGCTGTTTGGCTAGCTTAGGAGTCACAGATTCCATGGCCTTAGAAGCAAAGAGACCATTAGTCCTCTCGCTCCTATACTCTGCATCGTCGATGAGCTTGAGGTCGTACCGCGCCAACAGCTCATCAAACCGTTCCATTATAACGATGACAGGGAGACGTTGCGTACGTATTGACTCTGTGATCTCCTCGCGGTGCATCCGCATCTGTTCTTTCGCCACAGTTGTATCCTTTAGAGACGCAAGTCCTTTCTCGGAACAGAACTTTTGTTGAAGATACGCGATCAGCACTGCCACGGAGCGTGACCGCCCGGATTTACAGTGGATCAAGATATTCCTTCCCTCGCCACTATGGTGCTTGATAAAAGCGTTGGTCTCATCGAAGTGGTCGATCAGATTGGAGTTGGCATTGTCCTCGAGAGGAATGATGAGTGGATATTTCACAACGCTGTTTGCCACGCCGTTCTTGTCAGGGTAGAACCTTTGCAGTCCGTAGGAGGTGACGTTCTCGTCCCATGCTAGTGAATCCTTGGGATGAATAGCAATAACCGCCTGAATATCATTTTTTGCAAGGACATCTTCGTTGAGGGCATGGTTCATGCCCCCGATAAAAATGCTTCCGGGTCCGCTCAAATCTGGGTGGACAATTCGGGACATATCCGTGATGTCATTCCGGGTCCATTCTCGGATCTCGTTCCAGAACTTGGCATGCAGAAAAGCGAGGTCAGGATGCGACGCAAGGTTGTCAAGTGCCTTGTACGTGGTCGGCTCGTAGGAGGGGTTTCGCGCAAATAGCTCGCTCCACTCTATTGACGGGGACTGCTTGGTGATTTTGTCCATCGTGGCAGCGATAGAATATCAACAAGGAGAAAGGATTCAAGCGATCTGAGAGTAGAGATTCGGATCTCCAGTTAAGAAGTTTATGTACGAGGGTTACAATCTTGGCGAATCTAAGCCTCAATCGTATGGCTGAAGAAATGTAATCACTAAATTCGCAGCTGGACGTGTTGCACGCTGATTGGTTCAAATCCTTTGTTACCAGGCGGAGTTTTTCCACTTACCTCATTTCTTTTTTGCTCATGTTATAGCGAGTCGATAGATTTAAATATCACGGTTTCCAATTACATATGCTCGGTTCGCGCCCATATCTGAATTCATTTCTTCATGAGATAGGTCCCTGTAACTAGATTCTAGCATTCTCCCCCATAAGATCATCATTGCGGTCCCCATGACTCCTGTCGTTGCTGGTCCTGCTGCTGAAGAGCTTCTCGCTCTTGCTTGGCCTCGGTGATAGGCTCTTGGGGTTGAAGATTCAGGTACCCTGGCGCAGCAATTGCGATAACACATCCGAGGCCGCAGGTAGCCGTCAGAGTAGCAAAACCGACCAAGTGCTGAGGATCATTGGTGCTGGGCCACAGATAGCTTCCAAAGATAATGGCCAGATGGCCAAATGAGTTCACAATAGAAATAGCAATGGAGCGCTTCCAAGATCGAGCTAGCTGGCACACGGCGCCGGTGATCCAGACAGGGACAATCATCCACTGCGCAGTGACCTTGGTATAGCCCATAGATCGGTGGAGGAGGAGTACATATTGCAGCTTACTGACCCAGAAGAAGTATGGAGCAAGGTCCGAAGTCGGTACATCCTGTGCAATGACCAATAGGACCAAGACATTATAGGATCACTGCATTGGAGAGATAGAATATGGGGTTCTTATAACGAGGTAGTCCAGTAGTAGTTTTAAAAATACAGCTATATAGAGTATCGTGTTTGTAACTCTAATATACAGACTAAATACTGTAGCTTCTACTTTTGATTAATGCAGTTGTAAACATTGTACACCTTCCATCCATCAACTTCATAGAGAACTTTAGCTCCTTTATTTCTGGCAATGCTTTTATAGCAATTGAACTTCTTATACCCATTGCTTCCTGTCCCTGCCCAATCATTCAAATCCATCTTAACCGCACCAGCCGCGATTTGAGACGTAAAGGTTACCCCACTGCGAAATTTGCCTTGAGTCTGTCAGTTACCATATATAGCAGGTGGATATCTAGAATATTTCAGCTTACCTTTAACAGCCTTCCCTTCCCAGTATGTGAAAGTTCCATGGGTGACATCGGTGTAATCGCTAGGACGAACCATATTGCCTGGAGGATTCTTGTCGCCGTAGTATGCCATTCCGCTAGAGACTTCGTTGCCTTTGACGGAGTTTACAAGATAGACGTACTCATAGGCGGCGACTGCCTGGGCCCCGGCTAGGCCGGTGAGGAAAAAAGTGACCTTCATGATAGCTAGGAGGTACTGTGTTTGATGGTAAGCGATACTGAGCAAGCCTTGGCAAGGTACGGCAACATTATATACTTGAGAGATGTGCAATCAATGATACGTATTCTCTTTGCAGTCATATGTGCACCAAAGTCCCCAAGCTAATCGCATCACTTAACGATGCATTGACCAATAGTATTCAGGCTAGAAGCTACAATACGATCATGAGCTGGCCTTCAGCTGTAACGTCAGTGCTTACAAGCTCCCGCTTACTACGCACCTACCGCTCAATTTCGAGAGGCTAAATTTTAAGACTGTTCTAGAATTTAGGTCGCTGTGGACTTTTGGCCCGATGAGTGAAGAATGCGCCTGTCTTTGGTTAGCCTGAGCTATGGCCCTAGAAAAGGGCTTAAACATGAGTCGATAACGCCCGCTGTCTGGCGAGAGTTGCTAAGTTCTGACTGCTGATTCAAGCTCCCAGCCACGAGCCTTAACTACATGGTGGCGGGCTTGGTGTTGTTGCTCTTAATGGCTAAATGTCTCTCCTACCTCGAAATTAAAATGCAAGCTGTAAATACAATGTTTGTGTCTGTTTTTGTGAGATCTGCCACCGGGCTGCTGAGTAGATATGCTACTATACTGTGTGTCGAAATCGGGATGCTTTTGAGATGCCCTTCCAATAAACTTATCGTAGACCACGGGAAACAGGCAGTACTGGGCGCCTATCGAGAGGCCTTTAGGCAACTCCATCATAGACAACAGCCAATAGCTGGCTCTTCATCGTATACAATCCCTGGGATATACTATACCTAGCCTGTCCAGTCAGTCAATATTTTCCAAGAAGCCAGGGTACCCCAGCTGCAAACAGTGGACTCTCCCCCCTGCAGCTGAAAGAAATACATAAATCAATAGACCACGCAGCGCTAGCCTGTTTAAAGGTTTAACCTTACTGGTTCCCAAAGCTTGAACATTTGCGCTGAATTTACCTTCTTTTTCTTGTTTAGGTAAATTGCTGGCTTGGCCCTCAAATGCTGCGTCCGGGCCTGATATGATGTGTGCTGGCCCCTCTCAATACAAAACTAAATCACACAGCGCCGCCATCAAGAACCTCACCCTCGATACAGCCGAGGAACCGCCGTCCAGTGAGGAAGCCTTTGTATTTAGCGGCTTGTGCTAGGGCAATGACAATGCAAACACAGACCCAGATGATGGTTAGGAGGTAGATGAAGAGCGGCATTAGTTCATAATCATGTTAGAGGGGACTTCACAGAGGAAGTAGCCGACGAAAAAGAGGTACACAAGAAGCGAGCAGTCTAGCACCTTCATATCAGAAAGTATAATAATTGGATGTTGAGATAGAAGCATACCGTTATCCTTCATGTTAAGACTTTTACTTATACCAGCGGCAGTTGCATTCGCCTATAACAGTCAATCGCTGCCTGTACCCCGCGATAGGGTCAGTGGACCTACAATATCGCCACGATCCAAGTATGCAAGGATATACATCCACCACAAATAAGGCAGGAGTGTAAAGTCGATCTTGCGAACAAGGTCTCTTTCTTCGGCTGTGTTAGGGACATGGTTTGCCGGAGCGATGGTGGGCTCCTCATCGTAAGACAGTGCCTCTCCCGGCTTGGCGATCTCGCTATCTGCAAGGTCTTGAGAGACGCGTTGCTGAGGGAATGGCTTGTCTCCATTTTTAGGCTCCATTGTGATTGTGATATAGATCTACAGAATGATAAGATCAAATGTAGGAGACGAGGCAGAATGGGCTTTCAGGGAACATGGAGCATTATATCTCCAGGATCGGCAGTCGGCGTGGTTCTCCGATCACCGAGCATCTTTCCCAGTACAAGACTTGCCTATCATTTAGTATGTCTCATTGGATGATAAGCGTGAGTTACCTCTAATCCATACATGCCAAGACAGAAGGATGACTCGTGAGCGAAATGAACATGTAGTTCTATGTTGCGGGGTATCTGCCATCAAGCTTGTTGAGGGAGGGAGACTAACACCTAAGAGATAAGCATAAAATGCATCGGAGTGCAGATATACGACCCGGCTATCTTACTGCCAAGATGTATGCCGAAAGGCCAATGATCGTTGGATGAGGGACCAAGAGGGATTTGTCGTATAGGTACTGAAAAGTTAGTGGAGCCTGGTCGTGGTACCGACTGTGATTGGCTTATTGGCTGAAGGGTACAGTGGGTTGGCAAAAGTCCCGACACATGGCTAAAAAGGCTTCTTAATTTTATTCCTTATAAAATTAGCTATATAAAATAGATTAAAAAATAAAAAATAATTTACTTAATACTTAAATAGTTAAATTATTATATAATAATATTAAGAACTATATA